AGCTCGGGGCTGAAGAGTCTCTGCACCATGCTTGCTGCTGATGGCATTGAAACGTGTCGACGCGCGATGGGCGGCCATGGATACGGCGGTGGCAGCGGCCTTGTAGGACTCAATGCTGACTACCTCTCAAAGCCGACAGTCGAGGGAGACAATTGGATGATTACACAACAAGTGGCCGCGTATCTGATCAAGAAAATGAGCGATGTCATCAAACGTCCTGATGCTCCACCCAAAGACCCAACGGATGAGCTGTTCAGATTCTATATCAAGAATCGCAATCATCACATGCCTCAGGAAGTAGTAAAGGAGGGGTTAATAGATGATGGGATTATAGTCCGGGTCTTTCAATGGCGGGCAGCAGACCTGTCGTACCGCGCCTATCAGGCTCGTGTGGTGGAGAAGCAGTCGTGGACACGCCTGATGGTACAGCTCCACAGTCTCAGTCGTGCATATTCTGAGCAGATTCTCGTCACCAACTTCTACAATGGCCTTGGCTCTGTTTCTCCAGCCAACCAGTCTGCTTTGCGAACATGCTTCCGGCTCTACGCCTTGTACACACTTGATCAGTATGCGTCCTCGTTTACTATGACGGCTGCCGTTTCACCCGAGTCGGTATATACTTTACAAAACACGGTACTTGATTTGATGGCCGAGCTGCGGCCAGACGCTGTAAAGCTTGTGGATGCATGGTCCATACCAGACTTTCTTCTGAACAGTGCACTTGGGAGGTATGACGGTAAGGTATACGAGGAATTGTTCAACATGGCGCATCGCAAGAACCCACTGAACCAGGTCACTTTCAATGTGGACTGGCGTAGTGACGAGATTGTGCTGGGCAGCGGCGATGGGGGGCGGCATGTGTTGGCGAAGCTGTAATCCCCAGCGAATGCATAGTGTACAATTCCCAAGAGGGTGCTGGACAGAAACCCGTCAAGTGTCAAGCGTGATGGGGAGGCGAAACGTGGGTAGCGTGAAACTGGATTGTGCTGATCCTTTGTTCTCTACCCCTCTTCCCTATTGCCTTTTTTCACATTTAACTCTGTCGGGTCAGGGTCCTGATGTGAAATTAACTGGGACGACACGAAAAGAAAAAGTACCCCTGACGACGTCATGGTACAGCTGCTTGTCCATCTAGCTACATTGCCGTGCATAGAGAGTCGACCGATGATGCTATGCAGTGAATCTAGATATGTCGAGCCACCAAGCCACTGTATGTAGGTATATGCATATGTAACTGTAGTTAGGCGACCGTTGGAAAAGGGCCGACTCAGGCCTGCACTGTGAGCTGATTCGAGGCCCTGATATCTGGCGGTTGAAACGACGACATCCGGGGTATGTGGGCTGGGGGAGGGGGAGGATCCCTGGTCGGAAACTGGCCGGAAGCTGACGGACACAAAGGCGGCGAAGGAAGCTGGGCAAGTACGAGGCCGGACAGAGACAAAGGATGAGAAGAGCTTACGCCAGCAGGTGGACGAGATGCCGGATGGCGGAGCTTGCAGTACGGAGAAGAGTGGAAAGCCGTTGGGCAGCCAAGCCAAGGCCTCACTCCGAGTTTGACTCAGCAAGGGTCGGAGGCCGAGCGCCTGTGACGCACGACGGGGGACTGCGGCACATCGAACACACACACACACACACACACACACACACACACTTGCACACCCACACCATGCAGGGCCGTTTTCCCGGCCGCCGGGCCTGAACCATCCCACCAACCCCCTTGCTTCCTACTTACATTCCATCTCGACCAGAACACTTACATGGACGCTCTTCCGCCAGCCACCAGGCGCTTCGCTCGATGCTTGTAGACGGCGTCGACTGGGTTTCAGCCTGATCGCTCACGTGAGGACGCGCTACACCCCTTCTGGCGCGCACGCCTCTGGTGATTGCCCACTTCCAAAGGCGTAAAGCAAAGAGCCATAGTTGTGTAGACTGGGCCGGGTGCGATTAGCTTCCCGTCCTGTTTTTTTCTTATTCGCATCCACATCATCTGCTTGCACTAGGCCCCATCGCCCGTCAATGTCCTATCGCGGAAGGCCCAGCAAGGGTTGCGAGGCTTGTCGAGCCCGTAAGGTCAAGGTGAGCACGCCGTTCAATTGCCCTCTTTCTCGTGGCCACATCGCACCCCCAACCGCCAGGCTAATGCCACCGTAGTGCGACGAGGCCAGGCCGGCTTGCAGTCGATGCACAAAGGCTAGTCACGAATGCAAGTATCGCGACCAAGCCGATATCCTCTTTCGGAACCAGACTGCTTCGGCAGCACAGAGAGCCGAGGAATCATGGCGGAAGAGATCCAAATCCCACCAGCGTCCAACCACGGCAGAAAACAACACGACTGCCTATGTCAAGACGCCTCCAAGCGATGCATCCACTCCGCCCACGCTCGACGACACACGCTCCTCGAGTGGGAGTGTGCACTCGCCCAGCGGGTCCACCGATGACGCTACCCAGGATTCATCCAACATCTCACTGGCTACCATTGACCTAAGCAAAATGACCATTACGCCGGCACCCAATCCGGATTTCCGCCGCAAGGCATTTGAGCGATTCGTCTACGACTTTGTCCTGCCGGACTCGCCCACCATGCCAAAGGAAGAGCCGTCAGACGCCTTGTGGACTTTTATTCCCGTGCTGTACCAGGGTGCCTCAGAGGACTCGTTGATAGCTACTACTGTCGATGCTGTTGCATATGTTAACTATGCGAATAGGTACAAGGATGCCCATGCCGCTGCATTAGGCGAGGAGTGCGTTGCTAAAGCCATTCCCATGCTAACCAAGGTGATTGCGGATAAGAAGCGATCGGCTACGAATGAGGCCTTGTGCTCGGTTTATCTTATGGGGGTTTATGAGGTATGCAGGGATGTTGTTTTGGTTGGCAGAGCCCTAACTCTGTCAGAACCTCACCAATGTGCAGCGAAAAGGCACGTTTATTGCCCACCATCATGGGGCTACTGCGTTGCTCCAGCTACGAACTGTCGAGCAATATTACAGTGACCCGATTTCAGCCAGATTGTATGAAGTAGCTTATGCACAAATGGTAATAGCGGCGTATATTTCCTCTGTGCATTGCTGACTTTGTCGTATAGCTACTCGGCAACCTACAGTCAGCAAAACGCCCGCCTATTCCTAAAAAAGACGTAATCAAGGTGGAGGGGTACCTGCCCAGTCTTTACAGCAATTCTCACGTGTTTGTCATCCGTCTAATCTGGAGGGAAGCCATGTTGCATGCAAAGTGGCATGAGATTAAGCAAAGTGCGAGCCCGCCCACTAGTCGCTTAGCTATGCTAGAGATTTTCCAGACCGCTGTTGAACTAGATGGCGCGTTTCAAGCCTGGGAATCGCCCCTCACGCCGGCCTGGGATTACCACATGGCACCGAATACACCAGAGGCTCGGACAGCTTATGATGAAAAATGGAGAAATCTCTTCCTAGCGAGTCGAGGTGCGCCGCCCGAGATTCATGCATACCAAAGCCTGAAGAGATGCTGGATCTGGGGCTTTTTTCGAACAAGTCGGATATTTCTCCTGCGTGACCTTCTTGAGATGCTAAATTGGTTGCTGCGATTCCCAGAGCCGGCCCTGCCTTACCCTGCCATGGCAGAGAGCGGTTCCACAAGTACGAATGGGCAGTCTTCTCCTGTTTCACTCAGCACCAAGAGTCTGCGTATGCAACAATCGATTACTACTACCCACTTGGTTGAGGTCATTGACAAGAATTGCTCAGCCCTGTTTGGTAGCTTTACAGTCCCGATACACCTCAAGTCATACAACGACGTTGTTGGGATGAGAGGTTATGTTTGTTTGTGGCCACTGGGTATCATGGACGCTGCTCTGAGCTCGGGTCTGGTTCCTGATGTTAACGGGCCAGGAAGCGGACAACCGTCGCCAACAACCCACTTTCCGGCGTTCCAGACGTCGCCAAACAGCGAATCTTTCCAATCAAACCCAGCTTCAGAATTCAAGAACGCCTATGCATTGGCACCACAATTCTCGGAGCTCGCCACCATAGTACCAAAACTGGAGGCGACGAGTGCAAGCACCAGCCCGGTAAACAGCACGCCAGTATATGACCACATGGCGAAGAAGAACCACATTTTCGATTCCAACCCGGCACATCCATATGACAGTCCAGTGCACCTTCCGGCAGACTTTGACATTCCCGAACCAAAGAAGATGGACGTTGGGTCAAGACGTGAGTGGGTCAACCGCCTCTTGTACTATTTAGGAACGGAGTTGGGACTCAAGAAAGCGCTATACGTGCCGCTTACTGAAGGATACTTGCCAATTGTGAAGCCTAGCGTTGATCATCTTCTGGGTCGGTGTTGATAGTTGGGATGGGAGTGTTGGCATGGAGGACATTCTGTTGTTTATTGCGCATGAAGATATGGAGCACGAAGTAACAAGGCATTGTGCGGGCGTTTGGTTTTTTTTTTGCATGTGCGAGAGCAATTCTTTCTCGCGTTATTTATTCAGCAACATATTAGCGTTTTCCTTTTCTTGTTGGGTGTACTTGATGGACAGGAGGGGAAAGGGGTTGCTGGTTGTATATAAGCAAGGTTGGAAGTTACAGGTGGTAAGGTAACGGAGAGTTGAGAAGGGGAAGTGGTATATGTATGGAAAGATGAGCATCAGGAAGCTGACATAGCAACACACTTTCTGGATAGGTATTATCAGGCATTGAATGGAATTGATTAGTACATTGACCACATGTCATTGCTCAAGCAACGGAGATAGGCCCCGCGCTAGTGCAACCTCCGACCCCCACAGTTGAGGCTTACATAACGCACTCGTGTATCCGAACCTGTGACCCAACATTTGCCCCGTCCGCAGCCGCGATCTGACCAGCTGCATTGTTTGTTTCAGTCCAAGAGTTAGTCGGTCATTTCGAAAAATTGAAACTTGAACTACAACACGACAGCATTGGTTACAAAAGAAAAGAGCTAGGAAATCCCCGAGCCAAAAAAAAAGGAAGGAGGAAAGAGGAAAAAGAGAAAGAAAGACACAATGGACATTCGCGTACTCCGCCCAGAAGACATTCCACACGTGCAGCTCGCCAATATCACGAATTTGCCGGAAAATTACTTTTGCAAGTACTACCTGTATCATGCGCTGAGCTGGCCGCAACTCAGCTACGTAGCGGTGGATGTAAGTTAAGTTTTAAGCACGTGATATCAACTCTTTCCTCCCCCCCCCCCGGAACCCCTCCCCTGCCTTTCCATTATCCAATGAACAAAAAGAATTTCATCTTCCCCCAAAATGCAAAGAACGAATCCCTAAACGAAACAAACAGGTGTCACGGCCGCCCAAAACGCCTTACGACCCGCCGAAAATCGTAGGGTACGTGCTGGCCAAGATGGAAGAAGAGCCCACAGACGGCGTGCAACACGGGCACATTACGTCTCTCTCGGTGATGCGCACGCATCGCCGGCTGGGGCTGGCGGAGAAGCTGATGCGCCAGTCGCAGCGCGCCATGGCCGAGACGTTCAACGCCCACTACGTGTCGCTGCACGTGCGCGTGTCCAACACGGCGGCGTTGCACTTGTACCGCGAGACGCTGGGGTTCAAGGTCGACAAGGTCGAGGCAAAGTACTATGCCGATGGCGAGGACGCGTATAGTATGCGCATTGAGCTGGCCGAGGTGAAGAGGGCGGTCAAGGAGGAGGAGGAGGCCGTGTGGGGGACTGAGGGGCTGGATGAGGGCGATGCGGTGGGGAGTGAGGGGCGGGAGGAGGTCAAGATGGTGAAGATGGGGAGGGGGAGGGGGGTTGTCGATTTAGTCGAGAAGAATGAGGCGGGTACTGCTGCTGCGTAGGCGCGCGGGGGGGACGTAGGTGGAAAACTGTTATTCTCTATGCCCAACTGTGTAGAGAGTGGGGGGGGGGGGAATTACAACACCCAGTATCACGCAAAATCATCGTTTTAGTCGAAGAAAACGAAACGAAAAGAAAACAATGTCGAGTTGTTATTGTGTGGAGACGGGAAGCGAAGTTTGTGTGTGTGTGTGAATCCAAGGCTATTGAATTTGGTACAGAACAAAGTCTTTGATACAGAAGCATGAATCTATGTATATCGTATCTCTCCTATTTCTATGTGAAATGCCTAACCTCCAACACAACATTGAGTAAAAAAAAAAGGAAAAGAAAAATATTACAACAAAGATGCGTCTTATAACGAACCCCTCAAAAAACAAAAAAAAAGAGAGAAAAGAAAAAGTCAGTTGTAGATTACAAAAAAAAAAGATGGCAGTGGATATCACAAAACAAAATCCTGAAATCGTTAATTTCCCCAATTGAAACCCTTGTATATGCCCCATGCCAAACCGTCATGACCAAAATATTTGTTAGCTTGGTTTCCCTTGTGTGTGTATGTGTGTGTTTTACATCAAGCCACCTAGGACAACCTTACCGACACCGCCAACCTCGCTCTTAACACCAGCACGACAGCTATCCTCAAACTCTCTTACCACACCGGCGAGGATAATCTTGCGGACTCGTGCGTCGGCCTTGTTGAACAAGTCGCCGACAACACTGGGGGCACCTCCACCAGCTATGGCGACGCTCTCGGGGGTACTCAGCATGGACAGGATACGCGTGTAGCAATCGATGAGGACGTCGCAGAGGGTGGCAAAGGTGCTGAAAAAGTCTGGGTCAAAGGGAAGCGAGGGCGTCTGCAGATGGGTATACGACTCGTTTGGCAGGAGCAAGTCGTCCGTTGGTGGCGAGTCGATGCCCATGCCCTCTGTGCCGCTGAAGCTGTTGCTCGGGGTGAGGATAGGAAAGTCACCGGTTGCGCTGCTACTGCGACGACCTTTGCTGCCCATAGCCATGGTCATGCCCATGTTTGCACGCTTGAACATTTGCGGGAGGCGAGCGCGGCTCAGGGTCGAAGGAGTCGAGCCATCGGCAGGGTGCATGGACTGGTACTGCTCAAACTCGATGAGCAAGGCATTGAGGGCCTTGAGGTAGTCGGCGGGCGAGTTTGCGTTGAGGTCGAGGATGGTGGGCAGGGAAAAGCCGAGGAGGAGGTAGTGGGTAGCGCGGCGGGCTTGGTTGCGCGAGGTGAAGAAGGGGAGGCGGGTGAGGTCGGATTTGGAAAAGAGGAGGGTATTGAACCAGTATATCCGGCCTTCGTGCCTGTGGCGGTGGCATGTTAGCTTGTGCAAGGGCAAGTGGGAGAGGGCCATACGCCTTGCGGAGGTAGTCGAGCGTCGAGATGCGCTTCGAGGCGAGCTCTTGGATGTGCTGGAAGACGAGGTTGGGGTTTGAGCCATTGGGGACGGGGATGGGGGCGGCAGGGGCGAGGGTGCGGTTGGACTGCTGGTTTGCGTGCAGAATGTCCTTTTGCGTGGGCGGGTGGCGCAGGGGCATGGGCACGGCCATGGCGAAGGCGTTCTTTGGCTTGTCGACGGCGCTCGAGGGGCTCTGGGGGGTGTCGTGGGCCTTTTGCTTGGAGGAGCGCGCAAACGTGGAGACGGAGAGGGTCGGGCGCTGGGCGTGGGCTGGCTGGGGCGCGGCGGCCTTTTCTGCTTCGGCGAGGGCCAGCGTGGCCGAGGGCGTCCTCGAGTGCGACGAGGACGACGTCTTGCGGGTGCTGGACGAGTGTGTGGTGCGCAGCGAGGCCGAGCGCGAGGTGCGCAGCTGGGAGCCGAGATCGGTGACGGACGAGGCGATGCTGTGCCTGCTTACGTGGCGGCGGCGCTGGGGGGTCGTGGGCTGCTGCTGGGCGGCGTCGGCGGCGGCGTCGTGGGGAGGAGGGGGCGTGTTTAATCTATGCGGGACGGCAGCAGCAGCAGCATCAGCAGTCGTGATGGCCGGCGCGGGCTGGACATGGAGCTGGGGCGGCGCCGTGTCTGCGGGGGCAGCATGCGCGTGCGACTGCGAGAGGGACGGGGCGGCGCCGTGCCGGGAGGCGTTGCGATGCCTGCCGCCGAAGAAGGAGGGCCGGCGGGAGAAGATGCTGTGCTGGTGCTGCTGCGGCTGGTGGTGGAGGGCTTGGGGGTGGTGTTGGTGGTGGTCGTGGTGGCCGTGGTGGTCGTGGTGGTCGGCCATGGTGAGCGGGAGGCATCCAGCCAGCGAGCAAGGGTGGGGGCTGCCGAGCGATCAGGGGCGCGGTTTCGCCCTGGGGCCCTGTCTGAACATGCGCCCGCCGCCTGGCTGACGGGCTCGATTCTGCGGTGGGCGATTGTCGACGTGCCGTCTGTCTCGATGCATGCACTGCGACCGCGACAGCAGCAGCAGCAACAACAAGCCGGCAGCAGGACGCGACAGACTCGGCGGACCGGGGCGCCACGAGCTTTAAACACGAAGCGCGTTCCACGAGCACCATGCGCTGCTGCGACAATGCCAAAATCCAGGCCGTGTTTCGGTTCGCGGTGCCAGCTGATGGACTGCGCGCCTATCATCCATCCCATCCATTCCCCAGCCTGACCAACGCAGGAACAGCCAGGCCCGAGTAGGCCCACCACCCCTGCCACTCCTCCAACGGCCTGTCCTCTCTCTAACATCTAACATCCCGCCCTGCGCCCCCCTCCATTCCACCCACCCTGCCTCTGCCCCCCCGCAACACCGCCCACCATGCAGCGCAGACACAGCGCCCGCGTATGTACTTAGCACGCCCTCGCCCTCGCCCACACGCCCCAAGCCCGCCTGCTAACCCTCGGCCAGGGAGAATGGATCCCCACCCAAGGCCAATGGCCCGTCGATCCCCAGCAAGACATGCCCGTTTCTGACGACCGCATCTGGGTCGACGGCTGCTTCGACTTTGCCCACCACGGTACGCCCGCTGTCTCTCTGCACCGCCTTCACCGCGCTCACCCTCGCCTCCAGGCCATGCCGGCGCAATGCTGCAGGCCCGCCAGCTGGGCACCGAGCTCTACGTCGGCGTCCACTCGGACGAAGCCATCCTCGAGAACAAGGGCCCGACGGTAATGCGCCTCGACGAGCGGTAGGCCTCCTCGCTGCACCCCTAAACGCCCTGCGCCGGCTGACTGCCACAGTGTCACCGCCGTCGAGGCCTGCCGATGGGCAACCAAGGCCGTTCCCCGAGCCCCCTACGTTACCTCGCTGCCCTGGATTACCCACTACGGCTGCCAGTATGTTGTCCACGGCGACGACATCACCTCGGACAGCGATGGCCGCGACTGCTACCGCTATGTCAAGCAGGCCGGCCGCTTCAAGGTTGTCAAGCGCACCCCGGGCATCTCGACAACCGACCTCGTCGGCCGCATGCTGCTATGCACCCGCTCCCACTTTATCCCTTCGCTCGACAAGCGCTTGACTGGCGAAGAGGGCCCTGGCGACGAGGCAGAGCGCACAAAGGCCGGCCAGGAGATGCTGCAGCGCATCAAGGACTATGCGACTGACACCTCGGGCCGTGCCCCTGGCTGCGATGTCTGGTACTGGCATGCTTCTCGACCCGTCAAGCTGCGGAGGACCACGACCAGCGCCGTGACCAGCCCTACCCGCCCCGATCACCCCCGCCAGGAATCCACGGCCTCGCAAGTAGGCCCCGTTAGGGAGGAAAAGGGCAAGTTCAACCAGCTCGTCCAGGGCAAGGGGCTCAAGGAGGGCCAGTCGGTTGTCTACGTCGACGGCGGCTGGGATCTGTTTTCCTCTGGCCACATTGAATTCCTGCGCTCCGTCACACAGTGCGAAGAAGACCGCGCCAGGGAGAACGGATGGTACACGGACGAAGCCAAGCAGGAGCGCATTCAAAAAACTGGCCAAGATTACGGCCCCGTCTTTTTGATTGCCGGCATCCACGATGACGAGGTCATCAACCACTGGAAAGGCATCAATTACCCGATCATGAACATCTTCGAACGTGGTCTATGCGTTTTGCAGTGCAAGGTACGCCCCGATTGGGTCGTTTTTGTAATTACATACTAACTTGTTCAGTACGTCCACGCAACCATCTTCGGCGCTCCTTTTTCCCTTAGCAAGGCCTTCCTCCACGCCCTCCCCTATTCGTCTCCCCTGACTATTTACCATGGCAAAACCACCTTTATGCCACTCCAGTTCGACCCTTACGCTGTGCCCAAGTCGATGGACATCTACCGCGAGATTGGCGACCACGGCTTCCAAAACGTCAATGCTGCCGAGATTGTCGCCAGGATCATGAAGGGCAGGGCTCTGTATGAAGAGAGACAGCGCAAAAAGGGCGAAAAGGGCATCACCGAGGATGCAGAAAAGCTTCGTCAGGAGATGGAGCGCGAGCAGAGAAGGAGGGAGGTTGAGGGCCAGTTTGGCCTATGATGTTGTGGTCGGCCCTACTTGCTCGTGGCGCGCTGCACGAGTGTGGGTTAGTGCGTTGGGCTTCTTTGGCTTGGCCATTGAACCAGACCCGGCGTTTTTCCCTTGATCGTCAACAGACGCCAAGTCTAGACTGAGCCTCGAATTGATCCTTGCCGCGAACAACACCCTCGGTTTTTTTTCTCCACGATGAGATTCAAACGATGAGATGCAGATCGCCCGCATCAACCTTGATTAGACCCTTCTCGCTTGTATTCAAAAGCAACACTAGGGTCTTGATGACATCACCACCATGGCCACCATGGTCAGCCGCTGACGGGCCCTCTTCAGGCACATGAATGTTGCACTGCATCGGGCATTACCGGTATACGGCAAAGTGCCATGTGATTGCCCCCAACACTCCACATTACCCTTCCCCCCCCCCTCCCACCAGTCTCCGCACTGGGGGGCCTTTTCCCAAGGTGGATCAATAATCAAGTAGCGAATTTCTCAAGATCCCTTCGTCCTCAGCCACCAGCTTTGCACATCGTGAAATGCAACCGTTCTTGTCATGACTATCGTAACCCCCGTTGCAGCTTTCCTCCTCATAGCCGTCGGCCTCTTGTATGCTGTGATCAGGTTCTGGCAAAACAGACATGCTCTGCCTCTGCCCCCAGGGCCCAAGGGAATCCCTATACTGGGAAACGTCAACGACATGCCCAAGCCAGGCATGCTCGAGTGTCATCACTGGTTGCAGCACAAGGAGCTATATGGCCCCATTTCCTCGGTGACAGCCATGGGCCAGACTCTTATCATCATCAACGACCCTACCATTGCTCTCGACCTCTTGCGCGACCGTTCTGCAATCTACTCGTCAAGACCGAGTCTCGTATTTGCAGGTGACATGTAAGTGGATACATTTGTTCCCGAGTAGGCAAGTCGATATTAACCACGGGCTTGTTGCTTGTAGGGTGGGTTGGCGCCATGCCACTGTCATGATACCGTACAACAATGTGTGGAAGATACACCGGAAGAATATCACAAAGATTACGAGTACGAGTACATCGCTTTCTGTCTTTGACCGCGTCCAGGAGGCCGAAGCCGCGCGATTTCTGGTCAATATGCTGGAGTCTCCAGATCGGCTGTTTGAGCATGTTCGTAAGGAAGCTGGGAGTGTGATTTTGAAAATCACATATGGATACAACATTGTTCCACATGGAAAGGATCCACTGGTTGATGTGGCGGAAAAGACCATGGAGCAGTTTGCCGAAGCTACTGTTCCTGGGCGATGGGCTGTTGACATTTTTCCATTCAGTTCGTCATGCTCTTTCCTCCGAGACCATTGACAAGTACTTTCTAACCTCGTCAGTGAAATACATACCCGACTGGATGCCTGGTGCAGGCTTCAAATGCACAGCAAAGGAAATGGCAAAGCAGCTTGATCAATGCACAACCCGGCCCTACCAATTCGTCAAGCAGCAAATGAGAGAAAAGAGACATACGCCGTCCTTCCTCTCCCAAAGCATAGAAAGTGCAGATAGCACCCCAGAGATGGAGTTCTACCACAAGTGGGCAGCACTCGCCCTGTACCTAGGCGGCGCAGATACTGTGAGTGACTCTATTCACACACCTATTACCGCATTCTCAAGTCACAAACTCACTGAGATCCCACCAGACCGTCTCAGCAATCACGACCTTCTTCCTCGCAATCCACCTCTTCCCTACAGTTCAATTAAAAGCCCAACAAGAAATTGACTCTGTAACCCAAGGCCTCCGTCTCCCCACCCTAGCCGACCTCCTCAACCTCCCATATATCTCCGCCATTGTCCAAGAAACACATCGCTGGCACCTCGTCGCCCCCATGGGGATCCCACATACGAGCACGAAAGAAGATGAGTATCGGGGCTACCGCATACCCAAGGGCTCCATCTTGTTAGCGAACAACTGGGGTTTCATGCATGATCCGGCCGTGTATCGCGATCCCATGGCATTTCGACCTGAGCGCTTTATAGCATCGGAGGGGAGAGACTCGGAACCAGACCCACGGACGCACGTGTTTGGGTACGGCAGGAGGATTTGTCCGGGGAGACAAGTAGCAGATCACGCCTTATTCGTCACAATCGCACAGACACTTGCCGTGTTCAACATCACTCCCAGCGTAGACGCAGCGGGACGCGTGAAGCGTAGTGAAGCAAAGTTCGAGCCTGGGACGATAAGCCGACCCATGCCATTCGAGTGCCTTGTCACGCCTCGCTCCTCTGCTCACATCGAACTGATCCAAGAGGCAGGCAAGAGATTTGCCTACGAAGAAAGCCATGCAATGGAACTTGAACAAGTGAAATGGTAGTTTATACATGCTCACAATAGCCCCTACATAGATATGTAACATTACTTTTTACACAACAACCACCCTCTCCCTCCTCAACCACCCCACCCCACCATACACCGCACTCGCCACCCCAGCCCCAAGCAACGGCCCCACCCAATAAATCCAATGATACCCCGTAAACCCCACCACCACCGCCGCTCCAAAGCTCCTCGCCGGATTCAAACTCGCCCCCGTATAATACACACTACACACATGGCCCACAAACAGCGCCCCACCAATATACATTGGTTTCGCCGCGCCCCCCTCAAGCATCAAGATGGTAAGAACGAGTTGCGACGTAACCAATGCCTCGAGGAACATGCCGCGCGTGACGGACATGTCGGCGGAGAGCGTAGTGCCGATTGTCAGGGGACCGGGGACAAGGCCGGAGATGAAGGCCGAGGCAGCGATGGAGGCCACAAGTTGAGAGAAGATGGTTTGTGCAGCGCGGTGCCAGTGGATTTTACGCGTGAGGTAGAGTGCAGTTGTTACCTTTGTTTTTTTTTGTTTTTTTAGTTAACTACGTACTAAACTTGACCACTTTTTTTTTTTGCGCAAACGTTTATTCGGAGCGCCAAGGGGGAGGGGAAGAGCCCGACGACTTACTGCTGGATTCTTTTTTTTTTTAAAAAAAAAGAGGTTCTTGTTAGCCAAGTCTAGGGGTTTTTTTTTGGATTGGAAGTTGGAAAGGGGGGGGGGGTAAGGGAAGGAACGTACGAATTTCCCGCCGCTAATATCGGCGAAGATGGCGACGTTGATGGCGAGAGAGGCGCCAAAGGCAAGGGATATGTAGAGTAGCTTTGTCAGGTCGGGAAGCGGCAAGTCGCTGCTGGACGGCTCTTTGCTGCCTGTGGCGTTTAGGGCGATTTGGGTGCCGGTGAAGGCGAGGGAGAGGAACATGAAGGTGCCGATGAATTCGCCGAGGAAGGCGGCGGCTTCGGTGCGGAGGGTGTGGTGGGCACGGGGGGGTTGGGAGGAAGGGGTTGTGGGTGTTGGGGTGGGGGGTTCGTGTAGGGGGAGACTGGGGGGTTGGTCTTTGGAGGTGAGGGACATGGTTGAGGAGTAACTTTAGGAGGGTAAAGGAAGAGACTGGGGGGTTTTTTTTTGGGTTGGAGAGGAAGAGTGGGGTGGGGAATTTGTATGCTGAATGCTTGTGTCGGATGTCATGCTGTAGTTCGGTTGGGTGAGTATGACTGAGTTGTGGTTCCCCCCACAGGCGCTTTCAGAGTTGATGAGTAAGTTGCATGTTCTAAATGAACCTATCGTTGGAGGGATATTCGGTATACAACGTTGAGTGCTGTGTCTTGGATATGCTTGTGCCATGGTGTGGCGATGGATGGGCTGTGATTGTAGGATTTGGTGTCCCAAGTCCAATGCAACGGATGCAGCACAGACTTGGCCGCCTGACTGAAAGACTTCTACAGAATCTCAGCTATAGGGAGGCACGTTTCTCATTTCGATCTGCTCTTTGTTTCCGATATTGGTTTTGCTTGGTGTAGTACAGTGACATGTGCTCTGGCGTGAATGGCATGTCTTGTGTAAGTGGTAGCATCAAAACGTACCAATAGCCGTTTTTTTGGGTACATATATCTGTGTACCTGGAACGAGAATATGAAGTGTTGTTGAGAAGTTGTGTCATCTTGGAGCAGGCAGTCAGTGACTATCGTCGTTTTGACAAGTCAGTAAGATTGATCACCCCAAGCGCATAGTGTCCCTTGGCCTCGACTGGACTAGGTTGAAAGGTTCCTATTGACGAGCGTCGATTGTGGAATGGATTCTGAAATTTCAACCTTGTCGGATGTATCTATACAGTGTAGAGCGACACTGACAGAACATTCTTGCTTAACAAGAGGATCAATCCCAGGTTTCGGTGTACACTATATTTTTTTTCTTTGTTTTGAACAGAGTGCGTGTTGGTCTCAGCAAAAAACACTGATTGTAACTAGAAAATCTTTCCTTGCGCGCACAAGTATCCTGGACAACGTATGTGAATGGTCGTCTAAGATAACGGGCGTACAACATATCCCGCCAGCCCTACCTCGAATCACGTCTCGCGCCGAGTCTGCGGTACTGTTGTTGCACACTCAGCAGACGCTCCGCCTTCAGCCAACTTGCTTTTGTGTAGCTTTTGTAAGCAATCATCTTGGACGTAAGCTTTCACAGCTCCTCTGGCAAAACAGTGAGCTTGACTACAAAATCACGAGAGATCATCCTCAATGTCACACCAGCGCATTTAGCGCTTTCGATATGTCGTGCTCGCTACAGTCAGGACCACTGTGTCGAGACATTCCTGTCGCATATGCCTCATCCGCTTGGTGCCAATGCGCTTTGTCAGTGCATTGTGTACCGGTGTTGATGGGATGGTTTGTGTTCAATGCTAGACTGAAGCGAAATGGCGACCTCACATAGCTTGGGATGGAACTAGGCTGATTGCAGTCTGGGTGTCGTTTTTAACACCGAGTCTTTTGAATACCTATATCTGCGCTTCGATATTCAACGTGCGTTAACTTTTGAATTATTGATACTGAAGTCTCCCCCCTGACTTCGTTAGGTTGAGCTGGTAAGTTAATGGTACCCACCTAGTCGAAATGGTGAACCAAACCTCACGTCACCCTGATGACATCGGAGATTTAGTCATGCCATTCCTTCGTAGCGAAGGTCACGGTCCAGACTCTGACGCTCACTAGGTGCTAAGTCGATACTAGCACCAACACCGGTTAGGGAGCGGAATTGCTTCTCTAAGAGTGCATACCAGTCTTTTGCACATGGCCCACTGCTCTCCACTGTACACGCTCATCGACGATGTATCTCCAATCACTCTGCAAGCTTTCTACTCACCTAAACAACCATCATCCCGCACACCGATACATATCCAGGTCTATAAATGCGTGAAAAGAGAAGCCATGTGTGCCACGGAAAGTGCACATGATTGTCTACCAAGTTTTGGCCTATTACGTACCTACAGTCGAGTACTGCAGGCTTCCGCTACGGACGGGAACCTATAGGTATTTAGGTCAAGATCTGCAATTCTAGATCTGCAAATTGCAGATGCGGGACGTCAACCGTCTGTCAAGATACCCCACATGCGGCATACTACTAGGCCAAGCGTTGCACTAGTGCTCGATCATCCTACTCCAAATGGACGGATCAAATTAAGCGCTCATAGAACTCTTGGATAGCCGCTCTCCCGCTCCGGCAAAAGCTTAGTCGATGATCGGGCGCAGGGAACAGGACTTGTTTATTATCCAGAAAAGGCTGATTGTTCCTAATGCGGAGTTGGATTCACCAGCCACGTACGAAATCGTGCGTCTTCTTTCCATCTAATCAGGGTCTAGCCATAAAAGGTATATTAAGAGATCCTGATTGGCAGGTGTAGTGTAGGGATATCATTGGTAGTGTCAAACTAAACCCAAAGTTACCCATAAAAAGCAAAAGGAGTATTTGTAATGACGAAGGTTTTTGTAGTGAAGCTGGATACTCTTGTTGGAAAGTATGAAGCAAAACAGCAACGGGCCCGATATAAAAGCATGCCGACATTTGCCTCAGCTCTTTCATTCCATCAACCACAGCAATTATGCGCTACACGGTTCTACTTCTCCTCGCCACCCCCTCGGCGCTAGCTTTCCCATGGCTCAAACCCGAAGGTCTTGAGGCTCTCTTGAACCATCCAGAAGCACGCGCTGAAATTAAACGTCAGCTGCAAAGCCGAAATGCTACTTCAGTGAAGCCTCGCCAACTCGTAGACATCCTCAAACCCATTTTGGACCCTCTACTAGGATTCATCCCAACATCCGACTCTGTAAAGGGATTGAAGAGGTTTCCTGAGGGTATGTATACTATAGTTAGTTCACAAATGTTACTAAAGAGTCCCAGCGGACTATCCTTTCCAGCCTCCTGGCCCTACTGACCAGCGTGGTCCTTGTCCTGGTCTCAATACACTGGCAAATCATGGATGTAAGCTCTGCACTACTATAACTTTATTTTGTATTCAACTAACAAGCCGCAGATATCCCACGAAACGGCATCGTGACAATCGCCCAAATCCAAGCCGGAACCCAAGCCCTCTTCAACATGGCTCCAGACCTAAGTGCGCTCCTCGCCACCGGCGGAGCCCTCGATGGCGGTGACATTCTCTCCACCAAGATGAGCATCGGTGGACCGGACGCACGCGTAGGTGTCCTAAATGGTGCCCTCAACTCCCTCCTTGGCACCCCCTCTGGCATCGCAGGCCACGGCAAATTCAACGAAGGCGACGCCTCCGCCACACGCCTCGACTTCTACCTTAGCGGCGACAACATCTCCTTCCAACCCTCACTTTTCAAGCAACTCCACCAGCAAGCCCTCGCGCACGGCAACGGCACCTACAACACCGACGCCATCAAAGAGCACTTTAAAGCCCGCTACGCCGCCTCCCGCGCCGCAAACGCTCAATTCTACTTCAACCTCCCCTCGGCCGGCGTCGTAATGGGCGCCTACTACTTCATTCCCGGCTTCTTCTCAAACGGCACCCTCGCAAACGAAGCTTCCATTACAAGTTTCTACGGCGCAAAGCCCAAGCCCGGCGGCAAGTGGAACGACCCAGAGCTGGAATACACACGCGTGCCTGAGCGCATCCCAGAGCAGGGCTGGTACCGCCGCGCGACACCCATGACGGTCGTCGAGGCCGCCGCAGGCATCCTGGATGTCTATCTGTACGCTAGACCGGCGATCGGGGGCGCGGGCGCGGATCAGTCGTGGGTTGTGGGACCCGTGGATTTACCTAATAACCCCCAGGCGCTATCGTGCTTCCTGTACAATGCAGTCTATGCGAATTTCCCGAGCGAACTGTTCAACTCGGTCGTGCTGGTGCAGAGTGTGGTTAATTTCTTGACTGCCATGTTGGTGCCTGGGTACAAGGCATTGGGGTGTCCTAGGGATTTCCCGGACATGAGTGGGTTCAGCTCAGCGGGTTATGATGAGTGGGCAAAGGGGTACACGGGGGAGGCGAAGACGAAGGCTGTGGGGAGTGGGTGGTATAGGAAAGGGTAAGAGATGTTGTAAATCTTGTTGGCTGGTGCAGTACGCAGAGTCATTTCGATTGTTCTGTTGTATGCCATTTGTTGGGCTCAATTGCCCCTTGCCGAGCATTTCGCTTCTAGTACTACTGATTTTTTTGTCTGTGTCTGCCGAGCTTACTTAGCGTCTTGTCACGCGGGATGTACAAAAGGTTGAGTCGCTCGCTATCTGTCAAGAGAGACAGCAGCGGCTCGATACGAGAAGCTAACCGAGTCAAGCCGAACCTTTCCCTACATGGTATTTCATAAATACCAACCACTTCTATATTTGTTTTTTTTCCTGTCATGTCGTGCAGCAAAGCTATCATGTCGATCCACTGTCATTCGACAACATCGATGCCATATGCTTGATAGGGAAAATTCTCTAGACTGTGCCTCATCTCCACCACTCCATCCTCTGACATCAGGCGTCCATCTTTGCCAGCCACAGGACCTCTCACTTCGCCCTGAACAGGAGTTGCATAGTCGGGTACCTGATCATCCTCCTCTGTTCTCCCCATCAGGACATCCATCTCGCGTCCCTTGCAGACCCGTGCTAAGCCCGGATGTGGCACCCACACCACACGCATGCCAGCCCGCCGTGCAGCTTCAACCCCCGCGATCGAGTCTTCAAAGACCAGACATTCGCGGGGCTCAAGCGCGCGCTCTCCACGCGCCGTGTTGGCAGCATTCAGCCGCTTAAGAGCAAGAAGGAAGATGTCAGGCTCAGGCTTCTTCTTGCTATCAGACATTTCTGGGTCGTCGCCGAACACTTGCAACGCCGAGTCTTGGAATGTTCGCCCAATGCATGGTAGATGTGATGTCTTCAGCGCAAACTTCTCACGCCCTGCGGAGCTAGCAAGCGACAACAATATAGGTGGCGTGGTCTGGAATTTCAGCGTACGAAGGAGATCATCGACGCCAGCAAGCGTCTCGCTGTTCTTGAACAAATGTGTATGTGCTTTCTCTTTTGATGCCCACTCCGCTGGGGAAAGTGGTACCTGCGCCCAGGCGAGAAGACGATTGGTGCCCTACATACAAACCTGAGGAGCTGAAGATTGCTTTTGATTGTGGGGGGACCCTTACACGTGAGCCTCTGCTCTGCTGCGTGGCTTTAATGGGCCAGGGGTATTCGGGCCTTCCGTATTCTCGCAGAATATGGTTGTAAATGGTGGTGTAGATGTCCTCCGAGTTGATAAGGGTGCCGTCCACGTCGAAGATGCACGCCCGAACAGGCGGTAAGGCCTGAGTCATGACTGGCTGTCAGAATCCAAGACCTAATTAGAGGCTGCTAGCTGTGGCGTAGATGTTGAGACTTGATGGTGATTAGACCTGCCAGGCACTCTTCTACTATCGTGGGTGCCGTCCCCCACCAGTCTACCCCGCAGTGGCTAGCCGGGCTGAGCCTAACTTGCGTCTTACAGTGAACTTTGCTGAAGCCACGGCGCTCGCTGACACCACAGCCATCGAGATTCTGTTGAGGTATATACGCAACTACGATCTCTGCGCTTCGCTTGCCTTGTGTTCACATCGCCGGTTGCTGTCAAAGCGCCTGGAGTGGGCGGTGGAGGCCGAAAGGCTGAAAGGAATGGGTATCAGGTGATACGCATAGCAGATAGGACATGTACTACTCATCCTCATGGATGTAGTACATAATAAGCATATGTGGGGCAAACTGGTTATCTGCACAGGGTTCCAGGGCCCGCTTATCCACCGTGTATACAATAAAGATACAAATATCCAGAATGAAGCGATAACGCTGAGGCAATGAGCATGCTGCCTTGGCAGTATGAACGTGACAATAAGGGGTCTTGCAGAGCTGTCAACAACACCCACCCGACGGGACGATCCCAATGGGTGTAGTTAGAACGCCCGCCGCCGTGTTGTTCAGCTAGTTCGGCCCTCATCAGGCCTCCAATGGCGTTACCTGCTGGTGGGCCTCGCTTCAAATTTGATAGCAGTAAGTATTCACGGCAAACTAGTCTTTGCTCTGAATTGGCCAGGACGATTGGCGAGATGCAATGTTACCAGGGCGTGCTGGTTTATGTGCCCGGCACGTGGACAGCGCCTCTGAAAAAATTATCCTCGTTTATACACGAGCTCCGTTTGCTCATGACTCGGCTGGGCAACAATTTTGGTTGAGAATGGTACTCGGCCGAGTATGTTGCCGCAGGATTTGAACTTGCAAAGACGTTTGGTAAAGGAGGACTGCATCTAATCGTTGGGCAATGGTGGATTTGAAATGCTCAGTACGGTAGCTAGTAGTGTCCTGAGGGATTTGCAGCTAGTAGTTGCATGGATCCTAGATACAGCATTGTCGCTGCGCAAGGCTGGTCTTGGCACCTAATCCGTATGGGCAAGATACTCGTGTGATAAGTCAAGAAGCCATGAGATTGTGCAGAGATAATCCGAAAAAGGGGCGAGGTTGAGGAGATACCATTGGCCGGGAAAGGCCAAGAGCGCTCCTTTCTCGCATGGCCGCTGCTTGGCGGCTGGGGTTATGCAGGGCAGTCGACGGCCTCGATAAAGGTCGGAGCTAAGTGTGTGAAGCGCTAACACTCTCCTGATCCGAAGGTGGTACACAAAACGGTGTATGAGAAGCATGACTCGAACCATCATGGAACAAACGGCTTTCCAACGGACGACTTGGTGCGCTCCGGTGAATCTGGGGCCGTAGACAGAAGCAAAACTGAAAACATAGTGGCCCAGGGGCTTTGAGCATGCATGTGAAAAGGCGGCCAGGGTTCCCTAGTCCTATTCTTGCGTAGTCTGGCAATGAAAAGAGCCGCGTAAAATGCGTGACTGGCATGCACACGTTTGCTCCCGCCAACTCAGCTGCTGGCAGAGTAAAGTGGCGGCGACGTTGGACAGGGCTGAGCGAGGTGGTATACTTACACTACTCCCAGCTGTCTTAGCCCCGGGTCACATGCCTTTACCTACCCAGCCACAAGCCTACTACCGCCAGACGGCCTCTCTTGGCCATGTTGACGAGGAGCCGTGTTTTTGCGCACTAGCAAAGCCACTTCTTTGCTGCCTGTTTCCACACTGGGCTTTTGTTTGGCGCCAGCATGATATTATCTCACCAAGCATGCCTCGCGGGGCGGCTCGCATGGGCGACAGGGCCTTGCCGTGAGATTTGCAAGGGGGAAACCATCTGTTGCCTGTTTCGCCCAATGCTGACACGATTCCATATCTATCGACCCGCTGGTGTGCATCGGGCAAAACGCTCAAAATCGAGCGTGCTCAAGGGCCAAATTCATTGATGACGGCGGATGTGGTGTTGCACCCAACACTGTGGGCTCCCGGGTCGGTGAAGCTAGCGGAGTCCCAGAGACCAGCGGTGCTAAACTTAGCCCACGTTTGCACCTTCGTAAGTATTCTTCCGTCAACACCACCACACTATATGCCGCGAACCCAACTCGGCCTCAGGCCTCGGATGCCGGACGTGTGCGCTGTCATGGCGCGACCTGGATCCTCACATGGGCCCCATGGAGCCATACCGCAGTCATTCGCTTGCGCCCATTTGCTCAGGCATGCTACCACAAGCCCTCAGCCTGAAGTACTCCTCCACTGCTTACCCATCCACGACGAAACAGGAAACTTCGTGAATAGATAAATTGATCCCTGGCTTAGCTCTGTGCTTGATTGGCCGGGATAACGCACGATACCCATCTGGCGAGAACCAAGCTGCGGGACGCACGCCCTAAGCGAGTAGCAACGAGATAGCGACACTCGGCCTCTTCCTATTCCGCTTTTCAGCCGTAATACGGGGACCATGACTATTGAATCGTTCCAGTTTTTTTCTAGCTGCTTCCTGCTCGCTCTGGCCGCCACAGCCATGCAGCTCACCCGTCGCCAAGCTAAACTACCGAAGCTGACTGACTAGGTTTTCGACGTGTCGAAGTGACCGGATTAGGCGTACCATTGGCCAATGTCCCCATCTCATCGCTGTCTGCCGTTATGAGGAGCATATATAGATATCGGCTGGGGTGCCATCTAGAGTTCACAGGGCTCATCGACCGGGCGATCATTCCTGCCTGTCGAGACTTTTCTCGATACTCTCTTCTGTCTTTCGGTTCTGCCATCGTTTCTCGCCTCACATGGCGCCCCCTCATGCTCTCAGGCTGTCTCACAGCTTGCTCCTGGCACTGTCTGTAGCATCTACAGTCAGCGCACAGGACCCCAAGGTCGGATGGCACGCTGAAGGTTGCTACACCGACTCCGTCCAAGCAAGGTCGCTGTCGGCACCCTTTGGAGTAACTGGTGGTATGACGAACCAGAAATGCAGAGACGCATGCCGAACAGCATTTTTCACCTATGCTGGTACCGAGTATGCCGGAGAATGCTTCTGCGACAACCAATTGCGGAATCAGGGCCAACCGGCTCCCGACGGTAACACGGGGTGCAACATGCCCTGCAACGGGAACCAAACAGAAATGTGCGGAGGTCCTGATCGATTGACCTTGTGGAGGTTCTACACGGGCAACGAAGCCAGCACCTCATCTGCTGTTTCCAGTGCTCCAGTTTCCAGTCCGCCCGTCTCCAGTGCTGCCGCTTCCAGTACTGATGTTCCCGCTACTACTACCACACCTACGACGTCTGCTCAAGCCAGCACGTCCAGCGCCCCACCAGCTGCCACCGGTCTTCCTCAAGGCTTCGAATACAAGGGTTGCTACGTCGATGGACCTGGATACCGTATTCTCAACAACCAACAGCCCGATGACCAGCAAATGACGGTTGCATCATGCACCAAGAAATGTGCCGATGCCGGTTTCGAAATCGCCGCCATGGAGTATAGCTACCAATGTTTCTGCGATAACTTTGTGAGTATTCCCGACGATCTTCGTTCTTACTCAGATACTAACTTCAACAGGTCAGGATGGGAGGCGCACCCGCTCAGTCCGAGTCTGAATGCAACACCAAATGCGCCGGAAACCAAGACGAGACATGCGGAGGTCCCAACAGGATGAGCATCTATTCCACCCAGAATCCCCTCAAGGTCTATCAACCGCCAAAGCCCGTAGAGACTGTGGGTGGCTGGAAGTACCAAGGCTGCATCACTGATGTCGGTGGCCAAGTTTTCCCATGGAAGTCTGTCAACGAGACTGGTAACTCACCAGAGTGGTGTCTTAGCAAGTGTCAAGAATTCGGCTTCATGCATGCTGGATTAGAGTATGGCCAAGAATGCTTCTGTGGTGATTTGGATGGCATCGAGAAAGCCGGTTCCAAGCCCGCCCCTGAGTCCGAATGTAACATGTCATGCCCCGGTGCACCTGAGGCAATCTGTGGCCAGGGTAACCGTCTGTCCCATTACAAGTGGGAGGGAGCTGATCCCCTGTATGTGTGGAACTACCCCACAGGCAACGCAGCTGGGCGTTATGAGTTCTTGGTCGGTGGTCCCATTATTCCATTGATTTCGCAGCCCGCGGTCAACGGCAAGATTTCTCTCCTCGAGAAGTACGGAACTGGAGAGCCCAACTCAACCGGCGCTTACGAGCTTGACCCTTCAATTGGAGGTGACATCTTCCACGCCTTCCGCGAGTTGACCGGTATCAAGACCGATATCTTTTGCGCTGCTGGTTTGACTCTGCCTGACCGTGCTGGTCGCCAGATTAACATTGGTGGCTGGTCAACTGATTCCTTGTTCGGTGTACGCATGTACACACCAGACGGCAAGCTTGGCGTCAACGGTACCAACAACTGGCAGGAGGATGTGAACACTGTGAAGCTGCAACAAGGCCGCTGGTATCCTACCGGTCTCCTTATGGCTAACGGTTCAATGCTTATCGTCGGTGGCCAGGACGGCTCCAACGGTCCCCCCGTGCCAAACATGGAGATCCTTCCCAAGGCTGGAGCAGTCAAGCACGCACAGTACTTGCAAGACACTGACCCATACAACCTGTACCCCTTCCTTGTCGTACTTCCATCCGGTGGTATCTTCATCCAGTACTACAATGAAGCCCGTATCCTGGACGAGGTCACTCTCGACACCAAGACCATTCTGCCAAAGGTTCCTGCTGCTGTCACCGACCCTACAGGAGGCCGAACCTACCCATACGAGGGTACTCAGGTTCTTCTTCCTCAGTACTACCCTTACAGTGATCCTCTTGAGGTTCTCATCTGCGGTGGCGCAGCGAAGAACCCGCGCTATGGACTTGACAACTGCGTCAGCATGGCACCAGATGTTGCCCAACCCAAGTGGACAATTGAGCGTATGCCATCCCGTCGTGTTATGTCCTGCATGGCATCTCTCCCAGATGGCACTTTCTTGATCCTGAACGGAGCCGAGATTGGTGAAGCTGGTTTTGGTCTCGCCGAAAAGCCCAACCTGAACGCCATCTTGTATGACTCCAGGAAGCCCAAGCATCAACGCATGAGCATCATGGCCAACACCACTATTGCACGCATGTACCACTCAGAGGCTGTAGTAATGGACGACGGAAGAGTACTTGTGTCTGGCTCAGACCCGCAGGACAACGTGAACCCCCAGGAGCATCGATTGGAGGTCTTCCTTCCCCCATACCTCCTCTCTGGAATCCCCCAGCCAACCTTCGATCTTCCTCAGAACGACTGGAACTGGGAGGCCGACTACTCTTTCACCGTCACATCTAGTGCAGGTGGACCCATCAAGGTGTCGCTCATGGGAGCTGAGTCCAGCACGCACGGTAGCTCCATGGGTGCACGTATTCTCTTCCCTCAAGTTACATGCTCAGGAAACGCTTGCTCCGTCAAGGCGCCCAAGGGACCATATATTGCACCACTCGGCTGGTATCGTATGTTCGTCCTTGCGGGCGACATTCCTTCCCACGCCAAATGGATTCGACTCGGTGGTGACCCTGCCGGGCTAGGAAACTGGCCTGATTTCCCTGCTTTCAGGCCATTGCCCGGTGTGGGACCCGTTGGTGCAGCCAACGCTCCTACGACCAGGTCGGAGCCCGTTGTGGCTCGCAGCTTCCGTGGTTGAAGCAGCTGACGGATGACATTCGTCCTCTAATGACCTTTTTTCCATCCTAATCGTTTATGTATGTTGTCCCTACTAGGGGCACTGCAGTTCCTTGACTGCACGTAGTCATAATTGTAATTTCATGTAACGACTCCATTACCAAATGTGCCTGTTTGCTTCGTGTGTGAACCAAGTGAAGAGTGAATGCGTCTTGTTTGAAGTGGACTACTGTCAGTGCTTGTTCGGTTAAGATCAGCTGGTGTCGGTTGCAGAGGCAGCGAATCGTGGCGGTCCACGTATTTTTCTGAAGATGATGCAGCTCTCTGTAGCTGTGTGCCAAGGGAATGGGAAGTATGCCGTTTAGTGTTGGCGATTGAGACAGCGAGATCTGATAGGGGCGAAGATGATGAACAAGAGATTGAGAATGTAATGGCCGTAGAAGCAGTGAATCTCAATAAGAAGTCTTGGAAACAGTGGAATGAAGTAAAGCAAACGATGTATGTCACTGTGCGCTGAAAATAAGGGTTCGCAGTCTTGGCGCAGGGTCACAGCCGTCTGCTTTCTTCCAACTACAGCTGTGAAAACAGCTTCTTACATAGATATTTATACTCTGACCGGTCAACAGCTCAAGCGTGGCCGTCTCACGTAAATTTTCTGCCTCAGCTACTATTGCTTACTACAGCAGCCACCGAGGTCCAGCGGGGTCATCGGCAAACCACAGCCGCAGGTAGTTGTGGCCTTACGTACGCCCGTTATCCTTTCCCCCCAAACTACCTTTAACTCTTAAGTGTGTGTCTCATCCTACAGCAACACCTACTGCCGAGAGTACCAATTCAAGAATTCTCTGGAGGTCATAATCATAAGACAATAGCAATTAACACTACGCCCAGCGATGGACAGTTTTACTGCAAAGGCAAATTGCATCCGACTCGACTTGCGTTAGCATCTCAATAAGCCAAGATACTCACCAACACGAAGGCGTCTGCAAGTGATCAAGATGACTATTCCTAATAGATACAGAGGTGTGGGAAATTCCGCTGGGCTATACGAACAACCGGTATGATTGGATGGGGCGCCTAAAGAATGCCACGTTAAGAGCAGAGTGTCCATCCTTTACACACCCGTCATCGGAGAACTTTCCACTTGAGAGACATGCGAATCATGCCATCAGGGAGCTTAAAACCAGCATTCGGCCGGTGTGTTTTGTTGCTTCCCCACCGATAACCGTAATGTTGCTGTCAGATGGTGCGCAGGAAGAGACTTCACATGCCACCAGCGACCCTACAGCTGAAAAGGCTAGCAGCTCCGAATCGTCGCTCGAAACCGACGTGGTCCCGTCCAGCGTATTAATCCTAAGATGCTTAGTCTGACAAATAGGTGCCATGGCAGAGGGAGCAAAGCGACGAACGCGACTCTGCCTTTGGAGACACTCAATCATCCTACACGACGTCTGCCATGTCATCTGTATTCAGTTTTTTGCTATGAAAATGCCAGATGGTACCATAATTAGGTAGAAGGGATGTGTCCAGTACTAAATCCCGGTGTCAGCCCCGTGTTGCTGTCACTCAGATGGTCTAGTTGCTTACACCAGTTCGACCAGACCGAGGCAGATAGACTCGACCTCCAACACCACGCCTTTCGTCTTACACTCGATGGAAATCTGTATCGAGCAACCATTCTATAAGATGTCCAGAATGTTCTGGACGTAGAGCGTGGAACTGGTATGTGGGTCATTGAATTCGCAGACGAGCATCTATCTGCTCTTGTCTCGGGCAAGAGATCCAAGTCCCATCCAACCCGAGCAAGCCCCACCAAACCATGATTTCCTAGTTGGAAATTGTGGAAAATAATATGTCTTCCACGATAAATTCAACTAGGTCCACTCACGTGACTTGGTAGCAGGGATCAAGGACTGGCCTCTTTTCTTCGAACAAGCCTGTGCCAGCCTCAAACACAGGACTACCTAGAATTTCAGGATGTCGCTTTTCTGATCTGCTGCATGGATCCCAACGTAACTGCTCAGGACTCATCGCTAATCCGTTGGTCTGAGTACTTCATTGAAGCTGCAAAGACAATTGGTCTTGATCGCACGAGCCCTTGCCGATGTTCACGCCAACTGTGTAATGCTGGGATCACGGATATCAATGCCAAAGATGTACAAGTGGCCAGTGGAAAAATGGGTAAATGGCACAAGGTTCAAGTTGCTGGGACGCTTTATACATGAAGACCTGGTGGACTGGCTGCCCAGCAGCTCACTCGATCTATTTACACCAATAATCAAGTGGTCTAGAAAGGAAGTCAGGAGTCTTCCTAGCAGATTGCCGCCAAAAAGCAAAGCGAAAACCCAGAAATCACTACGCTGATATGTAAACCCGTCACTATTTCTTTGTCATTGACAATGCCGACACCCCAGCTTCTTCTGACACGCACGCAAACCCAACATACCAACGATACAATCCACGAAGAAGAAGACACCCCCCCCCCAAAATACCAACTACCTACCCCCTCCTAACCCTGCCCTCCTCGCTCCTCGTCGGCACCCTCCCCAAAAACCTCTCGACATACACATCCGCCTCCTTCCTCTCCACCCACCCTCTCCCCTTCTTCCACGTCATCTTGGCCATCCACCCCGTCGGCTTCCCGCCGTACTCGCCCAACGGCGCTTCGTGCGGAAAAAGCCGCTTCCACGCTGCTCGCGCGCCTTCGTGGTCGTCCGGCAGGAGCGCGCACGGGAGAGGGATGGGCGCCCAGGGAATGGGGGCTTCGTTTGTGATGCGCAGGTGGGAAGGGGGCATTGGTGTCGTGGTTGGAGCGGGTTGGTTGCGGGTCGATTGTCGGGTTGGGACTTTAGAAGGACCAGTTTGTTGTGCTTGCGGTTGCGGAGCCTGGGTTGGTGTTTGGGTGCGGGTGAATTGGCTTGGTTGATATGGTGGGGAAGATGGTGGTGATGATGATGATGGTGATGATGAAGGTTTATCTTTGTCACTCCTCACCACGGGGCAGGCCGTGAATTTCAACTTCACGGTGAGTTTCCGGGGTCGACCTTCTTTCTCTGCTTTCCCTTTTTCCTGTCTATTGGTCTCCTCCTCTTTCTCTTCGCCTTCTTCGTCAACATCCTTTTCATCCCTCTTCCGCTTCCCTAATCCTTTCATCTCTTTCTGTTGCCCTCTCTCTCTTTCCACACTCCCATGCATCACCCTCTCCCCCATATACATCCTCATCCTCGCCTCAAACCTCGCATCCATTTCTGAAACAGACGGAATCCTGCTCCCAGACTGACTTTGCTTTTCCATCGTCAATCTGAAAGCCAACTTTCACTTAACAATCTAAAAAGGGGGCTTGAGATGGAAACTTTTGTTTGTCAAGCTGACAAGAACTTTGTTGTCAAGCTAATAGTGGGATTTTGGAAAATGGGAAAATGTTATTGTTTTGATGTCGTTTGTGGAGCCTCGGTGTATTTTTACGACAAAGGGGGACTGACTGTGTCGGTGAGTCGGTGATCGAATAATCAATGACCAACCGTGGTTTGGGAGGGGTATTGTGATAAAGGCGGGTTGGGATTGGAGAAAGGCGGAAGTTTAACGTGCGATATTTTCCAGATATGGCGGGAGGGGGGACAAATGGTAGGTGTTCTAAAATGAAACGAAGCGGTTTATTTTTGAAACTGTTCCATTTGTATGGTGATGCTGTTGTTGGAAACATCTCAACTCTAGCACTTAGCTGTTGTTTTCGACATTGCACAGTGACTGAGCCCCCCAAAAATATGTATTTACTCAACTGATACGATTACAATTACGAATATCTATACTTACAAAAAAATCATACCCCGTCTTCTCTGCTAAGTTTTTCAAGTGGAATATTAAACATTACAGGTTATCGCTCTGACTCCAAACACACCCACACCCTCACCCACTCTCTCCCAAGCGCAGCCCCAACATCCTCTCATGTTCTGCAACTTCCTGCAGCTTAAACTTTGAAATAAGATCCATAGTGCTCCGTCGCACGCTAACGATACTCCTCTTCTCGCTCGCAGCGTCATCGCCGCTCCTCATGTTGCAGCTCACGCGGCTCGCTGGACTGGGGTTGCGCGACTGTCTTCCAACATGATTGCGCATTATAGAAGAGTGGAGAGACAAGTGTCTGCTGTCAAAAGACAGACGGGCGGGTGGACCGAAATCTGCTGTTGTGGTGTGCGCACTGGTGCTTGGGCGGGGGTAGTTGTCGACGCAGTTCTTGTAGTAGATGGACCAGCCGCGAGCTAGGTCGTGGGAGTGATCGTAGTTGGCGTCGCCGCCTTGGAGCGAGAGCTTGCTGAGGTTGGGTGCGGATGAGTTGCGGCGTGGACGGAGCATTGTTATAGTACCATCAACAACTAGTTTGTCCTTGCCCTTGGTAGTGTTCATGGGCGTTTGGTCTGGAGTAAGGAACTCCTCACGATCGTCCCGTCCGCCAGTGTTGTTTTCTTCAACAAAATCGCCTGCCCATACTTCAGGTAACAGCTCAAGTTCAGGATGTTCCAGAATACCGCCAGATGTAATCGAGCTGCGATGACCGCGACCATGCCTCCTGAACTCCGTGCTCTGACTCTTGAACATCTTACTATAGTTCTTCATGAGTGCCCTACCAAACGTCATCGAGCTACTTCTCGCCATGCGCATGCTACCAAGCTTCTTCTTCTTCTTCTTCTTTTCGCCAGGCAAAAGTGGAGTCGAGGGTCTTCGCTGCGTTGGATCGATCAAGTCTTCATCATCGTTTGCAGCTGTAGACTTTATCGCTGCTTCGAGTGCAAAGTCGCGGGGCTGGACATCATCTACCTTACCAGCAGATCCGGTTCGGTCTTCACGCGTGTGAGAGGGATAGCGACCCCATGCACCAACAACTTCCACGCCATCGCCTTGTCGGTTGTAGGCATCTGCCACTTCTTTTCCTACCTCAGAGTCGTCTCCACTTGCCAGGGCGCGGCGTCGAAAGATCGAAGTTGATGGTCTGTCCCCGTCATCACCACTGGGTGTAGGTGTATTCAACGTAGATAGGCGTCTGCTTGAGTCCTCAGCTCTCACGGAAACTTCTGCATCATCAACACTGATTCGTCTAGTGGAAACACTCCCGCTGCGTTCCCTAAAAGGACTGGACTGTACAGCGAGATCCTTGTTCTTGGGGAGGAACAGAGATGCTTTCTCTTCTTGATGAGCTTGCAAGGCATGGTCCCAGACTTGGTTCGCGCCCTTGTTCTTGCCGAGGGCTTGCTGTTCCGCACGCAAACTCACCAGGGATTGCGATTGTCGGCGTTCTCGATCCGCAGGCACGTCTAGTGTATCAAAAGCACCGTCCATGTCGGCAATGGATTGTTCAGGGGAATTGCTCGCCTCGCTCTGGCTCCGCAGGCTGAGTCTCTTTGGTTTCAAGAATCTGATTATCGAGGATGAGTGTGTGAGCTTCTTTTTGGCAGCAGGCGGACTGAACTCTTCTCGGAATTTGGAAACCTTGGTATCAGCAACACTGTTGTTACGTGCCAAGGGTGCTCTTGGCGGGGTACATGGTGGAGTCTCTGCTCTATAGCTCTGTGAGACCTTCAGGTTCGTGAGACCATGTCGCTGTCTTGGCTTTGGTGTCTCTTCGTTATCCGATGGGAAAGATGCCGAACGTCTAGCCCTGCGCAGATCTGAGGTGGAGATACTGAAGGGTTGATTTTCAGTACCAGTCCGGGATAAGTTGACCATAGATCCGCCAAAGCTGCCGGGCGGGCTCTGTGGTCTGCTTGAATATACAGAGGACGCAAAATCAGGCCGAATGTTTGCATCGCTAAAGACGACATTTCCCCAGCTAGCCGGAATCTTGTAGCTTGCTATCCCTGAGCTTGATGTCTGCCGATGATGACGAGGCAGCTGGTGGTTTTGTTCTGAGAAGTAGTTTGAATCGGCAGAGGTATGTTCATGCAACTCGAAAGGCGATCCGGATACCTCCGGAGCGCCTGCAAGCTTGTCCCATGAGAGCAATGATCCTGAGCGTAGATGGTGAGAAATACGCATGCTCTGCAGATGAACCGAATGGTGGGAATCATCATCTGCTTCTTCGCAAAGAGACCTTTCGAGACGAACAACTGTATCAGAAGAAGACATCTCACGCAGAGTGCCTTGAATTGACATGGATGGTCTAGGGGTGGCTGTTGAGGTTGGCTGTTGAACGCGGATTTCTACCTCGCGAGCTACAGAAGATGTGACTATGTCATATGTGCAGCTAGGAGCTACTGAAGAATCACTGTTCCGGCGTCGATGATGTGTCTGGTTGTGCTTTGCGTTTCGACAGACATGCAAGTTGGTGTCGAACATTGTAGGACTGCCGTCGCGCGGAGCAAAGGGAAAGCGTGATAACTGAAGACTCTCAGTCATGACTTCTGACCAGGGTTTGCCAGTTGTATCGTTGCTCGAAAGACCTGGTAATCGTAATGGAGAGATCGGCGGGGGCTTTGGCAAGCTCATCGACTCTGCCGAGTACGAGCGCTTCAGCCTGCGTCTTCTCTCATCGAATGTATCTAATGCTAGAATAGGCGTGCTGGACACTAGGTTGGATCTATTGGATAGTGAGACTGCCTGCGTGTCTGCGATATCGTATGGGCGAAGATCGTGCTCAGGACCACCGCTGGCGCAGCCCTTTGTACATGACTCTGGGGTTGTTCTTCTGAGAAACGTGAGTGTCGACCAACAAACTAATCATTGTCTTCAAATTACCTTCTAGGCGAGGCAACCCAGTCGACGCTGTGAATACTAGGTCTTTTGTTAGGTGATCTTTTGTCAGCATTTCTGGCAACATCGTCCAGTACTTGGGCATCTGAGTCGTAGCCTCCTTCGTGGGCTTTTTTGTCGCTAAGAAGATTATTGCGCAAGTCGTGTTTGGCAATCTGGAGCTGTTGCTTTGGCCCCCTTTTCTGAAGCTTGATCACAGTGTCGGGCGTGGACTTGGGAGTGATATCGTTTGCGTCAGAATGAGGTGTTGGAGTAGAGGGTGCCTTTTTATTAAAGTCTTTTGAGAATCTCTTCTTGATCACAGAACGCATGCTTTTCACCTTGCGAAGTGAGCGTATGCTGTGGACTGAAGGGCGACTGAAACGTGCAGGACCTGCCTGCAGAGGTGTATCACGATCTTCATGGCAGTGGTAGGCATGCTGAAAGATTTCTCTGAGCTCATAAAGATCTCCAGAACGGGCACTCGTAAACTGTGAATTTGGCGAGCTGGTCTGTTCGGGTAAAAAGCGTTGTTTTGCGGGTGCAAGTTGGCTGAGACGGACGTTGGGCAGCTCGGGTGAGTTTGATCGTTCACCCTCTTCTGTTATGCAGCACAGCTTGGAAGCCATGGTGTGGATGTGAGAGGATGAGCAGATGGATCAGGCAAAAGAGGTTTGCTGTTTGTTGACAGGTAGCGCCCTCTTCCACGTGGAGTGCCTGCCCATGTTTTGGACGAGGAAAGCTGGAGGGCAACGACACAATAGAAGCAACAGCATTTACGATGACCAAACAACTGAAAAGTAACCAAAAGTTGGCGGAAGAGGCATTCTTACAAATGGGCAACATGTATTGCATGCTGAAAAGCATCGAATATGCCGCGGTGATTGAGTATTCAGCTCATCATCTTCTTGCCACTTGCATCCTCACTGTACAACTCTTGATCTTTGATCCAAGCTGCCACGCTCTCAGTGCACAGCTCTGACACAATATCCCATCTGCCTTGCTGAGCAGCATTCCTCACTCGCGTTGAGCTGATCCCAACACCTTCTTCAGCCTCGACCATATCTATGTTGTTGCTCCATGCGGATTGGAAGCCAGCTGCCTCTTGCTTTCCATCTTTTAGGTCTTGCAGGTACTTGAGTTGCTCCTGAGTTGAGCCGAACTCACGCGACGACTCGTCGTTCGCATCGGCTGGCCGTTGGGTCACGCGCAGCTTGTGGCCAGCAGCGAAAAAGGGCTCAAGGGCTGAGAGCGGCGGATCGTGCTTAGGATAGTACTTTGGGTTACAGAAGCGGATCAAGGTGTCATAGCCGACAAGATGTACGTGCTTCGGATTAGAAGCATAGAAGGATGGCGTAGCTTGGGCGATGGCTGCTGACTTGTCACTGTAGTAGGGCTCTTTGGTAAGACCAATATCTATTGATATATTGGCAACATCAGCATTTGAAGAGCTTGTTCCCTTCTTGAGGCTCTGCGACAAATCTTCAGCAAGCGCCGTCATCAAGGCGATGCGCTGCACAAAGCTTGCAGGGCTGGGCGCCTTGTCTGCATTGTGTGTGCTAAAGAGCAGCAGCAGTCTATGCGGTCTCTGCTCTGATGGTGCCGAATTCTTCAGAGCCGAAGTTGCGAGAGTGAAATGTGCAAGGGACGGCGGGTTGAAGGAGGAGTCGAGGATGTAGAGGGTCTGGGGCTGCGTTGGCGTGTCGTTTACTGTGCGCACAACACGAAATTTGGCGGGCGACGAAGTAAACGAGTGCAGCGCAGACTCGAAATCAGGCAGTAAAGACCTGAGCGAAGCTATGCGCGAAGCCATATCAGCCATTGCTGCTTGTTGCGAAGCTCAAAGTGTGGAGGGGTGAAGGTCTGCTTGCTCTGTACGTAGTACGTCATACGCATAGTAGTACGTTCGGTAGTACTAGCCTTGCCGAGTAAATGGCGGGGATATGTCGTCTTGAATGCCGGGATGGGTGCATTAAAAAAGAGCCAGCATATGCACGCAGAGCGATGCACACGTACATATCAAATAAAATTCATGAAATCTATTTCTGCACACATACACACACAGCATGCAGGGCATCCTTCTACATGAATACCCTAGACAAGGAAAATATGTTCTAAAAAGCTTCCTTGCTCGCAATGACCGGCACCATCAACCCATCCATCCGTTGAAAAGTCAATCGATCCAACTGGCTAATCATCAACATCAGTCATCATTCACATCCCTCTCGCAAGGTGCGACATTCAGGATACCCCTCAAACGATAGAACGAGGTGTTCGAGATCCTGTTGTAAATACGCCAATGTCCCCAATAAAAACAAACACCTTACGCTGAACCCTAAAATCTTCTCTTGTTACCGAAAGAACATAAATCGCGTCAGAAAAAATCGTGGAGGTTTGCACAAAATGACCAGCTAAAACACGTCAAGAAGAAGAAAGAAAGAATGCGAAAAGTAGGCGAGAAGCAAGCGACTAATTGTCTCCATTGCCGAGCGGGCTAAGACCACTAGCCTTTGCCGCGTTTCTCAGGCTTTGCTGCCTTGCCAAAGATGCTTGACTGGTCTTTTGCCGAATCTTCATCGACTTGATCGAATTGGACGGAGATGGTCTGGGCGATGGTCTGGGCGATACCCTGGGACTGCTGTTGCTGCTGTTGTTCATTTGCTCAAACCGTCCAGCGATATCTTTGACACGACTGGGTGAGCCTCCACTCTTTGATGATTCATTCGCCTGGCTGTCGCTATCTTGGGGGACTGACAAGATACTACTGCCGTCAATATCGGCGTTGACAACACGCAGCTTGGATTTGGGCACTGTGAACATGACTTGAACCACTCGTCGCTCGACAGCTGCTTCAACGTCCCAATCAGCCTCGCTAGCTGGAGTACACGGCCGGTCTTCACCAATAGGAATACCGAGGTGATCTGGGAGAATGGGCGAGCGGGGTGTAGGCATTCGATCATCGCCGTCAAGGCTCACCAGCAAGTTGCCGCCCCTTTCTCTCCATTCCTGACGTTGGCGTTCACGCTCAGCCATGGCAATGTCTTCGGGTGTACCCCAGTCATCGCCAGCAGTACGACGCCAGGCTGGATCTTGTTCATCGTCCAGCCAGTCTTTTTTCCCTCTCCTACTGCGCCAAAAGCTTGCGTCTGAAGCTGCACGCTGGGGTGGTGCAGTGGCGGCTGGGAATGATTTCCGCATGTCCATCTGTCGTGGCTCAGTAGGCGAAGTTGGATCATCTCTATAGGGTTCTTGGTATGTCGTAGGAGCAACCATTGACCTTGTGCGTTCAGCGCCCGAGACGGATCTTGTCAATACCTTGCGAACACTGCCTAGCCAGCTCGTTCTTCGCACTTTGGACGTTGACCTGGGTATACCTGACGAGTCCAAGACAAAAGATGTAGCTGGAGTGGCAGTACCCGTTCGGCTGTTGCTATGATCTGTATCGCGGCATGTATCTGATTTAGAAGAACCAGTATCTGGCCTCGGCCGCTCTGGGTTACCACCAAGTAGTGCTTCACCCTCAGCTTGCAGATGAGCAAACGATGATTGAACGGCCCGGAAAGATTCCGATTCTGGCCGGCCATGGCTCTGTTCACTGTTGAAAGAGTATGTCCGAGGTTCATCAGGAGAATATCGGCCAACCTCCCCTCTCCTCCTGGCCTTGTCGCTGGTAGGGCTCGGATTTGTTGATCTGGAGGAGCCGGCGGTATTATTCGGCGTATTTCCAGAGCGCATCAATACATGGTCAAGAGCAGCTTCGTTTGCAGAGGTCCAGGACATGATACTCCGGTCGCTAAGATTTGAGCTCGTGCGCTCGGAGTTGGATTTGTCCGGGGAAATTCTGCCAGCTGAGTTTAATTGAATCCGTCCCAGAGAATTACCTTTGATGTGGCTAGGCGATTCCTGAGTATTCGATGCAGATGCAGCATATCGCACATCTCTCTGCATATCGCCATGCTTTTGGCCAGGCACGGACGAATCCAAGACTGGGGCATTGTCGAGAAGTGCAACTCCAATTTTCGGTCGCAGTTCAGCAATCTCGGGAGGCCTTGACAGGGGCGAATTATCTTGAGCTTGCTCTTCGTCCGTTTCCTCCTCGAGTTCATCAATTGGGTGGATACCACTTGGACCGCGAGGCTTGTTGACACCGTACGCAGGTCTCCCACCCATACTACGTCGCAGCCCGCGCGTCGGACTCGGAATCTCAACAAGCAAGCCAGTTCGTTCAACTTCGCCTCCGCTTGTTGCTTTCCAGCCCTGGCCGCCCTGAGCTCCTTGGGGAAAGTAGTAAGAGCCATTCTGATCAACGACATAGTCAGATGCGTCAAGACGACCCCCACGTTCATCGCACCCTGGCGCATAATCCTCCATGTTGTATCTGTGAGTAGTGTATGAAAGGTCCTGAAGTTGCTTTTCTCGGATGTGTCGGCGGTTCTTTGAACGTCTCCTGTAGCACATGTATAGGGCGACAACTCCACCTATGGCAACGAGACCGATTGCTACACCAACACCCAAACCTGCCTTTTGTCCAGTTGTCGATAAGAATCCATTGTCTTCAGACGAAGATGCAGGTGTTTTGGCGGGAGATGTGTAGTCAGCGATCCAGGTATTTGAGGTAGTATTGAGGAAGTACGTCTGGGCGTTGGCATTTGTCGAATCTCTTCGTCGAGAGGCGCCAGATGAGGGAATGGTATATCCGCCGGTGACCATCAAAACACCTCCAGGCAACATGGCAGCACCGTGACCATACAGACCAGAGCCAGTCGGTATTCCGGCACCACTGGTAGACGGTACAGTCCATTGCCAATCTCCGTCCCCACCATAGCCATCGGCAAGGTTAAGGACTACTAACTGAGGTTCGGCTGGTGTGTTGATGTCTCCAACCCAGCCACCGACGACGATGATGCTTTGACCATCTGCACTGAGCACGGCAGTGTGACCAGATCGAGGCTCGACTGCAGATGAACCATCAGGCTGCTGAACAGGTATAAACGTCCAGCCTTGCTCGGGGAGGGAGAAGAGAGCAATTTGCGACATGTTGAGGAAAGCAGCACTGGTATGCCCGCCAATGAGCAGAAAGTTCTGCTGCTGGATCTGTGTGCCATCTTTACGATCCGAGAATGTCGCGGACAAGCCGGTAATGGTGAAGCCGGCTTCTGGCACCGGGGGCCCGCGAGTCGAGGAGATGTCCAGTTGGTAGTTGAGAGACTGGGTGCTTGGGACCGAAGGCTCGAGCGTGACGAGCGAGTTGGAGTAGCTGGCTGCAGATTGCCATGACCCTGTTGAGTCGCTTGCATTGGGACACATGCCACCGAAAAAGTATGCCCCCGTAGTTTGGGCGTCCCCTGGTACGATGGATGAAAAAGTCATTCCGGCGCTGAGAAAGTTTGCGCCCATGCTGTCAGCATGCGACTGGTCCACAACCGACACATTCTCCTGTTTCCAAGTACCCTTGGCACTGGGGTCCGCAGCATTTGGAGTATAGGTCCATAGCTGAGCTCCGTTGGCACCTAGAGTGCAGTCGCCGGTGTATATAGTCAGGCTTCCACCACTGTCGAGGAGCGGTGTAAAAGGCCGCAAGGTGGTGTTATCGAGGAAGGGCAGAGTCGAGTACAGGTTATTGTAGGGCAGGTTGGAAGCCGTGAGGGTGGCGGACAGGTCAATGCTGCTGAGCTGGAACTGAGTCGACGACTGGGGCGAGGGACGGAAGACGTAGAGGCTATCGTTGGTCTGGAGGACACGAGTCGGGTTGTAGGGCATGTGAGCGGCGGCGAGAAGGAGGGACTGGTGGAACAGCACGAGCACGCAGCGTACCCGTGTCTTGCGGACCATGGTACATTCACCTCGAGGGGCGAGACGAATGTCCCATGAAGCAGACTGTGGCTACCGGTACGAGAGTAGGGCACGGTGGATAGCGACGACGGCGGCTGGGATCGAGGGTGGGTTCAGAGGAGCAGCAGTTCATGCACGGGATCATCGAGGTGGCTGGCTTCCGCGAGGGTCTATCAACATGGGCCCAGCCACTGTGGAGCAAGTAGCCAAAGCGCGTCATCTTCCGTGACGGCGGCCGTTTGTCTGCCCAATCACCAATGCGCGGCATCCTGAGGGCGGCGGTGGCTGGGCGCCTTGGGTGAGGTTGGTAAACAGGGCCGGGGCTGGTTGCGCAGGGCAACCGTCGTGCTGACTCGGTTACGTACATGCTTGTGCATGTGAAGACGGGGAACAAGCCGCGCGGGAGACCCTCTTCAACGACATGACTGGTGACAGTAACAAGCTGCCGAGACCCAGACCGGCCACAGAAACTGCACGAGGATGTCATGGGCCATGGGGGTCTGGACACGTCAAGGATGTTGGAGGTACGCGGCAGCCATTGAGGAGGCTGGCTAGACCCCGCTCGCCGCCTGCGCCCCCCCATTCTCATTGATGAGCAAGAAAACAAACTCCATGCCCTCGCTCTTAAGTACCTACTTATAGCTCTGTGTGGAGCGACGATCAATACGGCTTGTTTCTTTTGTTTACTCAGTGTTTTTCTTTTTCATTGAAGCGTCTTCAGCCAGTGCGAAAAAAACAGTTACTTTCTATCACTAAGAGTGCCAAGCTGCCTTATCGATAACGTCACGTGAGCCCTTTCCAGAAATTGGAACAACAACTACTTCTCTATCTCCTTCCTGTCTGTGTTCTTCCTTATCCTCTCTCTTCTCCATTCTGGGCCCCAATACCATTGCACTACCGCCAGTGGTACGACGCCAATCATCGCTAGTCCAAGGCCCAAAAACGCCGACCCAACGCCCATAGCCATAATCATCTTCTCAATGAACGCGACACCCACTGCACCCATAGAGCATCTTACAAGATTATTGATTGCCGTACTAGAAGCCCCCTTTCCAGGACATAGATCAGATACCATTGTCTGATTGACAGCAAAGATTGCATTGGAGGTTGCTGCAATCAAAAACTGAATCGTCAGCGGAACCGCAATCCAGCCTGGTCTTGATACGAGGCTGGGTAGGGCTAGAGAGAAGCCATAGCAACAAACACCGACGACGAAGATTACGGTAATCCATTTAGTATGTCGTAGGCGCGCATGTTCAATCGGAAAATCAGCCGGGATAGCCTTCTTAGGTAGTTTATAGTCGGCAGGTAGTCCGTGAGTTTCCTTGTACTTCGACTCCATCTCCATGTAGGACTTATTCATTAAGCTTCCAATGACCATGGATCCGACGATTGTACCAAGACCGTTGGGAAGGAATACAAGACCGAGAAGAAGTTCATTAAGACCAAAAGCTTGTTTGAAGAGGCCTGTAGTGCTAGATGTTACCATACTCCATATAGCGTAAACCGTGCCGCCAAAGATGAGGCTGAGCAGGATGTCTTTCTCTGTGAGAAGTAGGAGAGGCTCAGCAAACGTCTTCAGAGTGATCCTTTTGGGTCTGTAGCTATCATCGCGATCGGTCATGTAGGGCGCCTCTTTTTGAATCCCGCGGATCAATGGTTGGTGAATGCCGGTGAGGCGAAGAGAGCCATTCCCGGCAATGCTGTGAAGCGTCTCAGGGAGAAATATGATTATGGCGATGAGAACAATTGAAGAGAGTATCAGGAGGAAAACAAAGATGGACCTAAAATTTCGTAAGTATCGTAGATACCCCAGCCACATCTCAACGTACCTAAATCCAAAAAAGTTCGCCAAAATTCCTCCAAGCACAGGGCCAACTGCTATACTGAAGTTTCTTACTTTACGAGGTCAGTTCAATTCATCAGCTGAAGTTTTATCCGCCGTCACCTCCAAGGAGTATGCCCAATCTAACGAAGCAGGTCAAGGAAGAGGGGGCATAACGATCAGGTAAGCCAGGTACAGGCTCACTGTGTCTTAACAAATTTCCTACTATTCCATTTTGAGGTTGAAAACATATAACAATGGTAGACTTACTGGCTTGGTAGAAGCTGATGAATCCACCTCTCTCCGCAGGTGGTGTGATGTCTTGAATCACTCCATTTCCTGCACAAGTTAGTTCTTGACTACGACTTGTTACTTTCATAGAAAACCACATACCGATACTGACGGTAGAAGCACTCCCTGCAGCCTGCAGACCCCTGAAAATCAACAGCACTAGAAAATCTGGGGAGAAACTCAAGCCAATGTTGGCGATGATGTACACTACGAAAGAGTAGATGTATATCGGCCTTCGCCCTACTGTATCAGACAGAGACCCCCAGAATAGCGGTGAGATTCCTTGTATGATGAGATACGACGTGATAGTCAATGACACTGTGGTGAGACTAACTTTCAAGTCCTAATCCAGGTTAGAAACGTGTTTTCTGTCACCAACAAAGAGAGCCTTCTGAGGTCGAAAAGCTGATCTAGCAAGTAGGCAAAGGAATTGAAATCGTTGGAAGCGGAAAATGGAATGTGTGATCTTACTTGGGAAATAGCGTCGAGTGACGGAAAGAAGATGTTTGAGGAGAGGCCCGAGAACAACCCCGCCACCCCAATCATGGCAACAACACCCCACCTCTCATTATTTCCAAAGACATGATAAACCTCATCTTCTACAATCTCTCCAATTGCTACCGTACCCTTTTTCTCACCAGGTAGGCTCGCCATCCAGTCTTGTTCGGAACTCCACGATGACGCTTTAAGGCTGCCATTCTCCGATCTCTGAGAATGCGTCCATGAAGTATGGTCTCCATTGTAGCTTTCGGGGTCGAATTGATTTTCAACAGCAAAGATGCGTAGGCTATTCCTTGCAACGTAGACGCCATTCCCAAGTTCACGCCACCCTTCGAGAGTAGTGAAGCGGCGGGATATTGGTCTTGGCTTGATAGCCCAAGAAGAGGTAGAAGACATGGTAAGATTTCGAGAACAATGAAGTATTGTGACGAGAAAGCGGCACTCTAGAAATCAGTGAGAGGGAGCGTGTCGCTAGAATGCCATAGCTGGCATTTGCAATTCGGAAGTCAATATGACCGAGCTATAGCAGAAATACATGAGTGATCTACTGTGTATCTCCGTTACAAATGCCGAGATGGGAGGAACAGTTCGTGCTTCAGCCGCGTAATCTTAGTAGGGGTCAGCTATTGCACAGCACAGCCAATGAGATGCAACGCTCGTCGCATCCGATGATGCTATATGGATAGGACATCGTTCAGGCAAGCAAATGCCAGAAAAGGCGATGTTGGTGGTTAGCAAACAATCAGGTCTGCTTATATTTAACAGCGCTAATTGGTTGGTAGTAAAGTCAATTTGACACTCGTCGTGCTTTATCCTTGGCGCCCCTCGTGCAGACGACCGCCTGTGGATCCGTGCTTCCACATACAGACTCACTTTCGGTAACACCATGTTACACGCTACAGGAAAGCTTGAGTTCAAACAAGCCTCTCTTGCGAACAAGTAAGCATTGTTAACGTGTGCCAAACCATCCAATTATGTCTCATAGTGCTACACTCCAGAAACGTAGGCGGCTCGCTCCAGTCAATCACTACAACATATTCTTTCAAATGTTGCGTCCTCTTTTCATGTCATCAACACAATCATCTTTCCTACGATTACACCCCTTGTCCCTCATATGTTTTCAAATTCGCGCCGCAGGGCTCTCGCACCTTCTCCAATACACATTCCCAAAATCAGACAAAGGCAGGAAGATGAAGGGAAATCCCAAATTAACCCGGAGGCAACAACGCCAGCACTACCTACCTCTCCTTTACCAACGGGCAGTCGATCTGCTAGGTGGCCATTTGTTCCATCGACAACCACTTTCCACACTCAACACTTGACGTCCGTCAAAGCATCATCTACCACATCACAGACAGGAGTACTAGCTAGTAGTAAGACGCGATTACCAACACTTACAACGGCAACGACAACGACATCCCGATCACCAACTCGAATATCTTTCGTAACTATAATCGAAACCCAAACCTTAGGACCTCTTCTCTCCCCAGACGATAAAGGCGAAAAGTCTCCAGGCGATACAAACACAGTCTTTGTAACCTTGTCTGGGAAACCACAGTAAGTATAGATCACTCAGATCCAACGAAACGAATTTGAAATTCCAAGCAAGTTCAGCTGAATGCAGATACTGGACAAGTCTTTTTTTTGGTTTTGGACCACTTTTGCTGATACCAAGGCCCCAAATTCGCAGATTCGTAACGGTTACTGCTAGACCTACTGAATCGACAAAAGCAACATTACCGGTTGTGGTAACGGATACGCCACAAAATGGCACAGGTATTAGAAATCTACTACTGCCCCCAGGTGCTATAGCTCCACTAGTTGTTTTAAGTGTGATCGGTAAGGTCTCCATCTTCTGCGTCGTGAAAAATTTGGTCGCTGAGTTTTCTTGCAATTTACAGCTGGCGCATCTGTAATCATCACCGTAGTCATTGTTCTTTGGAGACGCAAAAGGAAGAAGTTGGATAAGAAGACAGAAGAAGGTTTACAAGTTAAGTTTCCTTTTTTTTTTCTAGCTACTTTTGTATGACATGGATCATTTGAGGCTAACCTTTTTTTGATGTAGGAGGCCATGACAGAGGATGATGATGGAGGATTCAGAGTCGTGTCTGATCAACAACCTGTTCTTCCCACACGCAATGTATAGAAACGAGATGAATTCCGATATAGATGCTGATGGGGTGGTCTTCCCAGTTAGATCTTCTTTGGTTAAACTACATGTAATATCAACTTGGCTTGAGATTTCTCGATTGAACAATCAACGGTCCTAGGTTCTAGACGGCTTCTTCTAGATCTATCGGTCTTTTGACTGTGCGGATTCTAGCCCACCTCGTGAAATGGGAATCTTTTCACTAAAGTGTATAAAATCTTTTGTTTTGATTGAACGTTCAAGTAGAGATTTGAGATATTCAAGAAAGGTCGTGTCGGAAATTTTGACGGCACGAGCAGTAAACGCGACGTTTCAGGGTAATAAAGTTAGTCTGTATAGCATTCAAACTTGTGGCTGAAGATTGTTTCGCCAAGTTTCATCTGTGTAGCGAGGTATGCTGATGAGAAGTAGTGAACACACACTTAACAGCACGTTATTCACATTGTTTATCTTATGCCATAGCACCAATTTCCCTCACACACATCGAAACCAGCCCATAAGCCATACTTGTTCGACAATGAGAGGCGTTTTCTTTCTTGCGCTAATAACCGCAAAATCCACTTGCGGGTTTCGCGAGCAATCTAGTCCACAGCTCAGGCAAGCAGGGTTAGAAAGTTCAACCTCTTCTGCACTTACGCCTACGTCCTCTGTTACCGATACCCCAAGCAGCAGTAACAACACGACTTCTGACTCCGATTTAGCGAATTTTGGTCAGACGGTGAACATTCTTGGTTTGGCACGAACACCCCCTTCCTGGAATTCAATACTTTATCTTCTAACATGAACATAGATGGAGAGAACAGACCAAGACTTTGCAGACGGACTCACATTGGATTTGTTCTCACCATATAACCGCACTCTCGTTGTGAGCCAAAACACGTCACCACTTCCTGGCAGCTTCGTGAGCGGCAGTAATGGCGCCCCCTTTGTCGCGCTTTCCAATTACTCGTGGATAATCAAGCTAAACGAGACTGCGAACGATCTCATCGCCAAGATCGAGCTTCCTTACGACCCTGTTGCACTTCAGAAAGTCGATGTTGATCAAGGCAACACATACGTTGGGGTTCTGGCAGAAGACAAGAAGTCATGGATTGTATCAGAAACACAACGCAATGTTCACGTGTAGGTTGCCCAACGTAAAAGGAACTTGCGACTCCTTTTTTGGTTCACAGTGCTAAGTTTCTTACCCAGCTCTGAAAACAAAACGCGAATCATCAAAATGACTTCACTGGACGGAGAATACATGCTCCTTGGTCGGCAAACAGCGGATATTTCGAATATATTCGTGCAGTATGGCCAAGGAGCCACCCGAACAGTGAATTTTACTGGAGGCATAGGCACTCAAGAGACTGAGTTTATCGACGGTCTACGTTTTACTGTACAGTCTGATCAGCCTTTCACCATGAACGTCGATATCAAAAACGGGATTCCAATAGACGCATTGTCCACCAATGTTTCAGCTCTCAGTGAGAAAAAAAACCGCAGCCAACTTCTTTACGCAATCAAAGAACTGACCACTGGTAGATTCATTTGCCTGGGTCGTTAATACTAGCATGCCCACACAGAAACTCAACAACGCTGAGATACAAGTCCCCTGTAAGTTTCCCCCTTCCCAAAGCAAAAAAAAAGGCTATGCATGACTTAACACATCGATGTCTAGTCAATCGCGCGATGCTAGTCGCAAAAACACTCAATTCGACAGATGCCGAGAAGCGGCTTGTAGTAGCGAAACGCCCCCTCAATGCAACCACGGAATCATTTACTCCATTGTCGCCAGACACTCAAGGGTTAGTTGCTTCCGAAAACCGTATCAAGGTGTCTGGTCTCTCGCAGTTGGATGGACAATACGTTTTGCTTGTAACGTAAAGTCTTTTTGGCGTAAACAGTGGTGTTTTCATATTGTGTACAAAAACACAAATTACGTCATCTCTCTCTCTCTCTCTTTCTAGATTTTATTTTCGTCGTAAACTTCACAAGTCAATTTTTACTGTTACATACCTTGCGCACGCGATGACATACTCAATGAAACCACTTAAAACATTTTTGAGAGCGTTATGGAAAATCTCCTCGGTACAAGAACAGAACGTGGTTCTAGAAGTTTTTTTTTAAGCCCAAAGACAGCGCGTCGCTGCAACGGTAAAACCAATTCGATAGGGCATAAACTTTAGCAGTGTATTGGTTAACTTGCAATCTGCCAAACTTTCCAATCGGCTAGACTGAACAGACAAATGATTCAGCTCCAATTTTCAATGCTATCAGGCATATAACTGTGTCTGGCGGGGGGTCACGGTAGGTTTTTGATAGAGAACCCGGCTTGCGCCCTTTGCGCGTTGCGCCCTTTGGTGGGGAGGTGATTCACTGCCAGCCAACCAGAAAACTCGAAAACGTACGATTCCCGTATTTCATTCAGAGCTACATGCAAAATCCGTAAACCTTATCTCCCCCAGCGTTCGAACCAATGTGGCGGTGAAAATAAAGGTTCAGCCACGATAGGCTGGACGACTTCTCTAGTCTTTGAGGCTTGAACCAACCACAGGACCCGGTAGCGCTGCAACGGAATGTGCATAGTTGGGAACACATTACAGCCTTTTCCTGAGGCTTTATATATCAGTCGTCGTAAGCCCATGCGGGATTTTCAAGTTTCCATCCTATCATCCTTCTACAATGGTTGAATAATTCTTGTTCATTGTGAATTGGATATAAATCCAACAAGACCTTTTTTTTTTCCCTCGCGACTAGGAATTCCAAAGAGAAAAAAGACTTTTCTCGTCAGTTCACTCACAGTCCTAGTATCGCAGAGGACTGCCGTACACAAAATCTACAAAGCTGGCTACCTCGAGCCTTACGCCATTCTTGATCGACCATTGCCTGTTTGCAGGCAAAGGTCCAGTTCTTACACAACCACCTTAGGACGCTAGGTAAATTTGACCCATGGACCATGACGAAGTTTTTCTGACCCCGGCCTTTTAGATTGATCCATACACTTTTGTACCAGAGATTATTCTCGTACTATTTTTTGTTTCAACATGTCTGGCAAAATTCTTCGTTGGCTGCAGAGCCCCGGCTCTCGTACTGAGCTTCAGTTCTCTGCGCCGACTTTTATCGTGTGCGACGTTGGCGCAGAACCCACCGACCCGGAAAAGAGCATCTATATTTCTATGAAGGCTGCCGATGAATACTCCCCTCCAGTAAAGCCCAGGCTTCTCGATCGCTGCTTGGACCGCATTGTTGAACTTTCTGGGTCCGAGTACACCTATGCCACTATCCTGATCGGACTGCTTATTTGGGCATTCTCGGGTATCCCCTATGGAACCACTAACCCGTACAAAATTATCATCTCGGACGCGCAGGCAATCATTAACCTCGTCTTCGACGCCTTTCTCATGCGCCAGCAGTTTATTCAACATGACAACCTACTCATGGTCGCGGGTTGTCTGCGATCTCGCATCAGCAGTCACAAACGCATGATCAATCACCTTATTGCGGCTGGAAAGTTTACAAAGATTGACGCTGCCGAATTCCAATCGCTTCGACAGGATGATTTCACCAATCAGCTTCCAGAGGAAAACCGGCTGACAAAGATTTCGGGCACGATATCATCCTTCCTCGGACACATCGGCACTGTCGTCGGCTTCTGGTGCTGCATCTTCATATGGCTGGGCTTTGGGAAATACTGTGGATGGTCAAACACTTGGCAGTTGTATATCAACTCTGCGACTTCGGCGCTCATGGTATTCTTGCTAGCATTCCTCGCCAACATCCGCGAGCGCCACAGTGGATACACGGTTGCATGTCTTAAAGCCATCTGGAAGGCCGACTCGGCACTTGAGCTCAGACTCCGCACATTGACCGGCGACTGCACCGAAAACTCTGTAATCCGCATGATGGAGCCCAAGCGAAGCAAAATCCAGCGCGCAATCGACTATTACGCAGACTTGGTTGGCACCCTTGTTGGCGTGGCTATTCTCATCGTTTTCATCCTCGTTTGGGTTGCGTGCGGCCCCGCGTTAAACTTCAGTTCCACCTGGTGGCTCCTCATTGGTACATATGCTGGAATGGTGGGCTTGAATGATGGCTTCGTTCTACGCAACATCTGCGAAGTCTTGGGAAACCATGAAGATGACCAATTTGCTCAAGTTGGCCACGCAGATCTCGAAGTTCTTGGCGCAATAGGGGTCGAAACGTCGGAGGAAAGTTGCACCAAAGCTCGGTCGCTGTCGACTCGCATGTCTATACGCGTAGGCTACATCTGCTCCCACGAGTGGACAATCGTCTCAGGAGTCATCTTGATCTTTGCACTCATCATTAGTGCTTCGGCAATGCGATGGAGTGTGGCCGGACAACTGCTCTGCAACACTCCTCCCAGCATTATCGAGTCCTTCTTCACTCTGATCCTAATCACTGGCCATAACATTGGCGAGGAAAAGAGGCGTGAAGATCTCTTCAACATCTATCTGCGCAGACTGAAGATTCTTTCTTACGTGCGTTCGCAAAGCTCTGTCGAGCCTGGAGAGAAAGCGACCGCAGATGATGAGATCAACAGAGACGTTGGTCTTGCAGCAGTTTGAGATCCCTCGTCTACCTGTTGTGGAAGTTCTCAGCACCGAAAGACATGACCCAATGTATTTCCGCCAGGAACAATTAAGCACATCCAAAAGGCGTTGGATGCTACTGGAGCGTCTGTTAGGTCGAGGACGGACGGAGCTAAAAACTGGCTACAAGGTTCTAGTGCCTGGGAAGTAGTGACATTGTTAACAATATCAAAACGTCGGAACATTGCATTTTTTTTACACATGTTTAAGCATGATCCGTTACATGCTAGTTAGGGTTCCATGAGTATGATACTCCAGTATTATTGGGGCCGCATAGCACCAATTGCAAAGTCGTAGTTCCTGATGCACCCATGATTATGGTTTGGATCGGTTCCTTTTTGCCAGGTCTTTGCGAGTCACGTAGAGGTACATATGGTAACATCGTAGCATAAGCAGCCCCTGTTCATCCAAGGGCATTCCGACTTTTAGACGCGCCCATTCTGCCACTGCGAGGCTTTTTTCTCCACTCGGCTGCCGACATGCTGTAATAAACTCTTGCTGTCAAGGCAGCAACAATAGCAGCTACTTGGCCTCACCATTCATTCATCCCTCTTGCTCAAGCCACACTGCAAAAAATCAGTCATCGGGCACTAACACATAGAGAAGAGATACGTAGCAATGATTGATGCATCTGCCTTGATATGTTTCATATTCGGCTTCTGCCAGGCAGGAGACACTTTTCGTCTCATTCTTCACTGGCTATACTACATACACACATCTATCTGTCCAGGTCAATCGATCCTGCGACCCGTGTCGCAAACATTCCCAATAAAACAAACGCCAGAGCTAGTTGTGCCGGACGCCCATGTCCGTCCTGTCCATACACACAATGTGCTTTTCTTTTGCACCGCTCAACGACCCATGATGCAGGTTGAACTTTTGGGTATCATAAAACTCATTACACACACATTACACGAGAGCAAGTTGATATGCTACTCGACGCGGCCGCGTTCATGAAACACGGCCGCAAAGGGATTGCCAAATGGCAGAAGAAATTTAAGCCGCGTGCTTCTCGCGGTAGAACTTGGCAGCGTTGACCATGTTGATCAGCGCAGCCTTGGTCTCCTTCCACTGACGGGTCTTGAGACCACAGTCGGGGTTGACCCACAGCTGCTCGGGCTTGAGGTATGTGAGCATCTCAGACAGGCGGTCCTTGATCTCCTGCTCAGAGGGCACACGAGGCGAGTGGATGTCGTACACACCGGGACCGATGTGGCGTGGGTACGCCTTGTCCTCAAACACCTTGAGGAGCTTGGCGTCACTCTTGCTGTTCTCAATGGACAGAACATCGGCGTCGAGCGCAGCAATGGCGTGGAAGAAGTCCTGGAACTCGGAGTAGCAGAAGTGCGAGTGGATCTGGGTAGAGTCTTGGACACCAGCGCACGCAAGCTTGAAAGAGTCGACAGCCCATGAGAGGTATTTCTCGCGCTCAGTGCCAGCACGGAGAGGAAGTCCCTCACGGAGGGCGGGCTCGTCGACTTGGATGACGTAGATGCCAGCAGCCTCGAGGTCGAGAACCTCGTCGCGGAGAGCGAGGGCAAGCTGTTGAGCTTGCACAGACTGGTGGACATCGTCACGAGGGAAAGACCATCGCAGGCAGGTGATAGGTCCAGTAAGCATGCCCTTCATGGGCTTCTTGGACACCGAGGCGGCGTACTTGGACTCCTTGACAGTCATGGGGGCAGGGCGAGAGATGTCACCAACGATGATCGGAGGTCGGACGCAGCGAGATCCGTAAGACTGGACCCAGCCCTTGGTGGTGAAGACATAACCGTCAAGGCGCTCACCAAAGTACTGCACCATGTCGTTGCGCTCAGGCTCACCATGGACGTAGACATCAAGGTCAAGCTCATCCTGGATCTTGACAGTCTCCTCAATCTCCTTCTCAATGAACTTCTCGTACTCGGCAGCGGTGATCTCACCCTTGGTGAACTTGTTACGCTGGATACGGATCTCCTTGGTCTGGGGGAAGGAGCCGATGGTAGTGGTGGGGAAGAGAGGAAGCTTGAGGTGGGTCTTCTGCTGGGCATATCGCTCAGGGAAGGCAGACTTGCGCTCGTGCTGCTCGGGGGTGACGCTAGCCTGGCGGTCCTTGACAGCCTTGTTGTTGGTGCGCTCAGACGAGGCGCGAGACTGCATCGACTTAGCGTTGGCCTCAAGGGCCTCACGAACGGAAGCGGGGCCCTCGTTGACAGCCTTGGCAATGACGACAACCTCGGACACCTTTTGGACGGCAAAGGAAAACCAGTCCTTGACCTCCTCAGGCAGCTTCTTCTCGCTCTCGAGAGAGTGGGGAGTGTGGAGAAGCGAGCTGGAGGTGGCAACAATGACACGGTCCTTGCCAAGCTTTTGGACAGCAGTCTCGACAAGCTCAATGGCGTTCTTGAAGTTGGTCTTCCAGATGTTGCGGCCGTCAACGACACCAGCAGAGAGAACCTGGTTGGAGCCAAGCTTGCTAATGACGCTCTCGAGCTGCTCAGGGTTCCTGACGAGGTCGACGTGGATGGCAGCAGCTCCCTGAAGGCTGGGGAAGACGTCGAAGTTGTGGACAACGTCACCAAAATAGGTGGCAATGACAGCCTTGGGCAGGTCGGCACCAACAAGCTTCTCGTAGGCAGGCTTGAAAGCATCCTTGACCTTCTGGGGCAGATCGTAGACGAGGACAGGCTCGTCGATCTGGACGTTCTCGGCACCGGCCTCCTTCAGCTTCTTGAGGAGCTCAACGTATACGGGCAGCAGCTTGTCGAGAAGGGAGATGGGGTCGACAGACTGGCCACGGTCGGCCTTGCCGAGGGCGAGGAAGGAGACGGGTCCGATGAGGACGGGGCGGGTGATGATGCCAGCCTCCTTGGCCTCGAGGAACTCAACCACAGGCTTGGGGTTCTCGGCAAGCTTGAAGGTCTGGTTGTCCTGGAGGGTAGGCTTGACATAGTGGTAGTTGGAGTCGAACCACTTGACCATTTCCTGCAACCATGTTAGCAAAAGCTTCTCGGCCAAAAGGCGGTTCACCTACCAGACTGGGAACATCGACGCCATCCTTCTGGTGGCCACGGCCCATGGCGAAGTACTCATCGAGCTTGTGCAGTCCGTGCTTGGAGTAACGCTCTGGGATAGCCTGGGATTGTTAGCGAAAAAAAGCAACAGCTAGGTGCGGGGCAAGAGAGACGTACGTTGAAGAGCTGGATGTGGTCGAGAAGGTGGTCGTAGAAAGCAAAGTCGTTGCTGGGGATGATCTCGACGCCAGCGTCCTTCTGGATCTTCCAGTGCTCCAACCTCAGGCGCTTGCCCTCCTTGAGCAGGTCATCGCGGGAGAGCTTATCAGCCCAGTAAGCCTCGTTGGCCTTCTTGAGCTCACGGTCCGCACCCATACGGGGGAAACCAAGTACTGATGAGTGTACCATTGTGATGTGCGTGTCCGAGATGGACGATTGATGTGGGAGGAAAAGGGAGGATGAGAAGGAAGAAGGGGGGATGGATTGAGGTGAGAGGATGGAGAGGATGAGGAGGGGAGGGAGGAGGGATGAGGGGAGAAGAAAGAGCAGCAGATGGTGTGCTTTATGGTTTTTGCTGGCGTATGCTGGCACCGCGGGGTTGCCGCTAATGGCGCACCGATGCCCCTCACCGCCTTCGGGGAACTATCTGGGCCTCAAACAACACCGCACCCTTGGCCGGACTATGCAACAACACCGCTGCTGCAACTCGCGGTCAAGCGCGTCTTTTGGCCCTTGTGCAGCGAATCATGGCCCCCACAGCACGCTGCCCCATCCGACATCGGTACCATCTGTGCAAAACTCCGAGTGCTAGCGTCGTCGATGCAGTTGCACGCCATACTGAATCAACCCAGACCGGTGCTACTCGGGCACTTTGATAGTCGCCCGGAGTGGCAGAAAAAAATACCGCGTGCTGCTTTGGTTCTGCATGCGTGGTCCTGATAGCAGTCCATCTCTGCCCGTGTGCGGTGGGATTGCATTGCACATCTCGTGCTGGCACCAATTCGCTGGCATCAATCAGCTCGCACGCCATTGTCTGCTGCCCCTCGCCCCAGCAGCCATCCTGGGCCTCTAGTAGCTCAGACCCTGGCGATCATCCCCCAACCACACACAGGTCAACTTTTCTGCCCGAGACCACACGGAACAACACCGCGACATGCTCTACATATACCCTACGCTGCTCAATGTCCTCCGCTCCCTCTCGTGATGGTCGGACAGTGGCCGAGCAGAAACTGGGCAATGATGCGGCGGAACCACCGAGCACTTGGTCTATTGAGCCGTCTCCACGACCCCGCATCACCTATAAAACCCCGCCATAGATAGTCCGCATCACACCAACGCGGCCATTGCGACGCACAACCACGCAGTCTACCAGACCCAGCGCTTCTGCAACCAGCAACATGGCCGAGAGACCAGCACACACGCGAACTGCCTCCACTAACCTTGGCACTTCTGGCCAGCGCATCCTCGAGGGAAGAAACGCCATCGTAACAGGAGCATCAAGAGGTACGTACTGCTTCTCCTTGACCTCGTCCATTTCTCAGCCCCCTAGGAATTGGCGTCGAAGTCGCCCGCAACCTCGCTTCCAAGGGCTGCAATGTCGTCATAAACTACACCTCCGACTCATCCGCCCAGGCTGCTCAAGACCTTGCTTCCGAGCTGCAGTCCGAGTATGGCGTCAAGGCCATCACCGTGCAGGCGAGCATGGGCTCAGAAAATGGCCCCAAACACCTCGTAGAAGTCTCCAAGAACAACTTCCAACACCCCAAGACGGGCAAGTTTCAGCTCGACATCATCATCAACAATGCTGGTGTCGCCGGCAACAACTATGTCGAAAACGTCGACTGCGAAGACTTTGCTAGGCAATTCAACGTCAACGTGCGAGGCCCACTACTCCTTGTCCAAGCCGCCATCCCCTACCTGCCAAATGACCGATCAGGTCGCATCGTCAACTTGTCGTCTGTCAGTTCTTCGCTAGGATACAAGGGCCAGTCAATCTATGGTGCGACAAAAGCAGCCCTAGAAAGCATGACGCGAACTTGGGCTCGTGAATTGTCCGAGCGATGCACCGTCAATGCCATCAACCCCGGCCCAGTCGCGACAGACATGTACTGGAGTAATGATGAATCTTTCATCGCACTCAACAAGCCCTTCATCGAAACTACCCCGCTCGCGGCACCACGAAAGGGTATCGACCCAGAACGAATTTATGAAGCTTCCCAAGGCGCTGGGGGAAGACCAGGCTACAGTGAAGAGGTTGCGGGCGTTGTGGGCATGCTGTGCTTGCCTGATGCTGGATGGACAACAGGCAGCGTTATATGCGCCAATGGTGGCATGAAATTCACCTACTAGATGAAATGGGTCGCTCGCATCTGCGGTCACCTCTCGACCTTTTCATATCTCACCTACACCTGAACATCTGGAAAACTAACCCAAATCCGAGCTTGACTCGAAGGCAATTCAAACCAATATACTACCCTGCATCCCACCTGCACCAAAGTTGGACTTTTCGACGTGATCAACACTTTACTATTAGAACGTTCTATGTTTTGTACACTAAGAATTAGCAACAAGCTCAGAGCGCGTGTATACCATAAGCACTAGTACGCCCCTGGTTGCTGCCACCATTGCTATAAATTTCGCTGTTGATCGCGAAACTCTGGGTTTTTATGATGCCTGCAGGCGAAGCAACGATACTGCGCTCGGATGATTCATCACCCTGCCATCCTGCAGCCGCCCTTTCATCACTGCCAACACTGACGCCATCATCTTCCATCTGATTGTACGCCCTGTTCATGTGCTTCGAGCCTATCGTTTGAAGCTCTGAATGGACACCATGTGAGTCGGTTGTATATCCTCGAGTTTGCTTACGGCTGTTGATAGACGATTCTCCAATCACACGTGGTGCGACATGGCGTAAAAACAGACGCATCGCCGGTAGACAACCAGTTATGATGATAAGGTTGGCTTCTATGAGACTAGTCTCAATTGTCAGCTGGAATTGCAAAACACAAGGTCAAATCCAGAGCCTACTCACATCCATATCCCGGGCATGACAATGGCCCATGTCTGGTCGATAGTGGTGAGCATCGGGAACAAGAGGGCGAGGCGCACTCCGCTGGTGATACAAGTCCTGTTCCGTGTCAGCCTATTATCTCCTTGAGTAAGTGCTAACATTACTTACAGCGATCCGATACCAAAAATGCACAACAATCCCGCTTTCTGCGCCCTTGGGACCTGTAGCTTTACAACCATCGGTATAGGCAAGACGAGCAGATAAATGTCTGTCACCATGTTCAACACGGCAGTTGCCATGTATAGTGGTGTGCGATTGATACAACTCCCCTCTGTGATAGTAATGTCCCAAACTCTCTTAAAAGGTGTACAGGCGAAGATGAGCGGAAAGAAGAGCGCAATGCTGTATCCGATGACTAGAAGAATTCCGCCATACACACAGATTCGGAACCAGCGCAGGGGCGATAATCGAAGGTATAGCAACAGAAGAGACAGCTTTGCGCTCGCCAGAAAGGGGCAATAAAGGATGCTGGCAACGTTGACTAGCTGCATGAGATTCAGCTTAAAGGAGGTGTTTTGATGGCTTGGAAATACTCACATTGAAACTGAAGTTCACGCGGTTCCCGCTCAGCTCCCAAATGTGAACACCGAGTGTTCCTCCTCCATATTGAACTGGACGACGGTCAGCTCACGCAAACACCAATACAATCCTGGAGGCCTACCGAGTATAACGGTTTGAATTGCAACTGAGAAGAACTGTTCATGTGTTGATTAACACATGATCTAGGCGCTTTGGCTGTCATAACTCATAGATAGACTTACCCAAGCCACGATTAGAGCCACTGCATAATCTGTTAGCCACCTTCGACCATTATTACACCACCTACGGACAGTTCGAAGAGGTCACAAAATAACTCACCATCATCTGCAGAAAAGCGTTTTGCAAATCTTGTCTTTGTGTAGATACGAACAGCCATGAATAAGGCCGAAATAATCATTCCAACTGCCCCCACCCATAGATTTGCCGCCACACCTGTTCTCTGTGGGTTGGAAAGATTGACAACATAGCCAGGCGGAGCTGGGAACAAGGGCTTGTTCATATCCATTGTGTATACAAAAAAAGCCTCAAAGATGTAGAGTTCTCAACCGGCAAGATGTTCATATTTTGTTTCGCGACTACTTACTCTCTGCTCTATAGTAGAACGAAACCCGAGCGGCCCCTTCTGCATTATCATTTCCCCGAGGGCAAGAATATTCCTGGCATATTGCAGGTCGGTTAAAGAGTCTCGGATGATCGCTGTAACGGCCAAGGCGACAAGAGATTGGCCAGTAGCCGCATAGACGAAAAGTGCCGACGGAGGCAATTTGATTGGTGGAGGGCACGGCGTGGCTGAATAAGTACCCACACAACTGTGCCACGCAACGGCATGGATAGGGCGACTCCATCGTCAACCGCTCCTCGAACTCCCAATCACACTGCAAGAACATGATGCACGGAGTCACCATGCTAGACATGTAGCGCGGACTACTAATATTCCAGCACGATGCAACCTATCCAGCTGGTAAATACTGTCTCGGCTCCGGTGAACACGCCATGTCCTGACAAGCATCCCCGTATTAATTTATGTATAGGTATCATGCCATCTGGCGCAACGCCCCTAGCTAATAGGTCACTAGCTGCATCCCTTCCTGAGCCTCGAAGGATGTATGGTGCAACCTTGATGCGTTTTTTAGTCCCTGCCACCTGCTATTGGCAACCAGGCAAAGCATATGCGGTATTGTCGCCGACATTAGCTTCCTCTTCGCTACAGGGACCGAAAGCCACCTACAGACTCTAGCCTTTTTTTGAACATTCTCGGGGGGTCCTTTAGAGATCGGTGAAAGGGTACGGCGCATGGCTAATAGGAGCGCCACTGAACAATCCACAGTGGAGAAGTTATGAGAGAGTGCATTCGTTGAACTATTAATACAAGATGGCGGTTGCGCTCCAACACAAGCACAGCTCTGTTCACTGCCTTCCTTCGCGTCGACTGCTGTGATGGCTCGTTTAACTGCTACTCTTCTAGCGGCTGCGGCTGTCATTCCTTTGGCACAGGCGGAGTACTGCGTAAGTCGATTCTCAAACTTGAACGTACCAGAAAACGTACCATACTAACCACAGATCTTCCAGTGCAATGTGCTTGCGGCAACTTCCCTGAAGGATCGTCTGCTGTATCCCAGCCAAGACGCATACGTGACACGCGAGAAGACATACTTTGACGTCAAGCAGCAGACCGTCACACCCAACTGCATAGTGCAGCCCAAGAGTGCAGATGACGTTGCAGTTGCAGTCAAAGCATTGACAGCTGCGAGCTCGCGCAAGCCTTGCAGCTTTGCTATCCGTAGTGCGGGACATACACCATATGTTGGGGCTTCGAACATCCAGGATGGAGTCACTATCGATCTCAAGTACCTTAACACCGTCAAGTATGATAATGGAAGCACTACAGTCAAGGTGGGGCCTGCGGCAACGTGGAACGATGTGTACGGCGTCTTGGAACCAATGGGGCTCATGCTTCCCGGAGGCCGATCATCAACTGTTGGTGTTGGCGGACTCACTCTTGGAGGCGGCATATCCTACTTCTCCCCCGGGAGGGGTCTGGTCTGCGACAATGCAGTCGAGTTCCAAGTCGTTTTAGCCGACGGCAGCATTGTAACTGCATCCAAGACAACGCGCCCAGACCTATTCACAGTGCTGAAAGGCGGCAACAACAACTTTGGGATCGTCACCAGCATCACATTTGGCACTTTCAAGAACCAGGGCATGTGGGGAGGCCTAGTCGTCTATCCTCAGTCAGCCATCCAGGACCACTTCAAAGCGCTCATCAACTTCTCCAACAACATCGACAAGGACAACAAAGGTGCCGCCATTGTTATGCCGGTGTACCAGAGCTCCGTAGGCTTGGACCTGATACTGAACGCGTACGATTACGCCGACCCGGTCCCCCAGCCCGCCGCCTACAAGGAGTTCCTTGCGATTCCAGGCAACACATCGGACACAACAGGCCTACGCAACATGTCGTCGCTCGCCGCAGAGCTCGCAGGAGCAACCACGCACCGGTAAGTCAAGTCTTGCAAATCAGAAACTCTCCCGAACATCCCATGTGTAATAAGGATAATCCCGCTGACAAGCCTACCCAATCCTAAAGCGTATACTTCGGCACACTTACCTTTGCCAACGACCTCCGAGTCATGACTGCCGCGCACGAAATCTACAAGGACGAATTAGCCAAATTGAAGGCAAAAGCAACCGGTGATTGGGGCATCTACGTCCTCTACCAACCCTTGCCGCCCGCATACTGGCGCCAGAGCGCTGCAAAAGGCGGGAACGTGCTAGGTCTTGAACGATTCGGCGACCAAGTCTTGTGCCGTAAGTTTCTTTTCCCTTCCACCACCCCCCCTTTTTTTACATTCATCCTCTCCCCCCCCCTTTCCCTCCACTTCCCGATTTATATTTACATTCTTACTACTATCCAATCATTATCAAAAGTCGCAGAAATATTAATAAAAGACGTTATGTAGTATACCAACCTTACATCTCCTGGCAAGGATCCGACCAAGACGCCCTCTTCCAAGCCGCAGGCGCAAACCTCATTGCGCGCATCCGCGCCTATGCGCAGAGCATCGGCAAAGATAACCCCTACTTGTATCTCAACTACGCGGATAAAACCCAAGATCCGCTGTCCAGCTATGGTCCAGAGAATGTAAAGAAGATGAAGGATGCAGCAAGAAAGTACGATCCCAACGGCGTATTCCAGAAACTCGTTCCCGGTGGATTTAAGATTTCGGCTGTGGCGTAAGTATAGAGGTGGGGGGAAAGTGGGCTGATTTTGTTTGTGTGTGTGTGTGTGTGTCAATAGCCCCGGAAGCCCGTTCAGTGTGCTGGGAGCGGGTAAAATAAAGATAGAGTTTAAATTTTAAACTTTTTTTTATAAACTCAATTAAGCCTATAGTTTCGATGGGAATAATTTACGTGGATGTGTGCTTAGGAACCGGACTTTACCCTTTTCTATCGCCATCTTCTTTCTCTCTCTTTCGCAACGATGTATAAGATGGTTGGAGGACGTCACTAGTGTGGCTTGGGGATCGGGGACTTTTAAAGTTCAAAAAGAGTTGCGAGGGTACAATACTTCAGGGCTGTTGCTGCTATCTAACTGAGGGAATGAATGGATGATATGTCAAGTTTAGCGTTAATAGTGCATTTATATATTGAGTGTGGGGCAAGCAACACTCACTCGCACTCGATAATTTTCTTTTGTGTCAAGAACAAACACAACAAACAACAAGATAATACTTTCTTTTTTGCGAAAGAGGCACAGCAAAGTCATGAAATTGCAAAAATGACCATTTAAATTCCTTCAACTATCATAGTGGTTGAAAAACCCAGTATTAAAATTTCCAACCATTGTACAACATTGAAACCTCAACTCCATGCATATACTTTCCCTTGTTTCCGATGCAAACATACCCATGATGAAAACGCTTCATAGCCCCATGTTTTCTATAGGATAGCAATCCTCCTAACAGTTGGTGCTTGCATCCTGGGTACCTGCACCCTCAAGACTCCGTCCTTGAAACTCGCGCTCACGTTTGCTACATCGATACGAGTAGGGAACCTGAAGGAGCGCGTGAAAGATCCATGGATGCGCTCTTCTTGTTGGGGTTGTTGTTCGGGTTGAGGTTGTGGCGCAAGAACTGGAGCCTCGGGTTGGGGCTGGGTGACTACTGCGGATTCGGTAGGAGCAGACTCTTCGACGGCCTTTTCTTTGCCTTTTGGCTCCTTTGGCTCAACAGGGGTTGAGGGGCGGGATGAAGATGAGAGTTCGTCACCGAGGTCTTCATAGTCGTCCTCGACGGTAGGTTGATAAGACTTGTGAGATTGGGTGTCGCTGTCTGGTGTGGCGACACCGGCTGTTGTGCTCTCAGCTTCCGAGGTAGCATCGATTTCCTCAGTATGTGATACTTCAGACGTCTGTTCGGCGGGTTGCTCGATGGCAGGTGCAGATGCGGGTTCGGCCTTGTCTTCGATCTGAGGTAGTGCTGGCTCGGACTGTGCCTTTTCCAGTTCCCAGTGAGTGTTTCCGGCAATCTTCAAAGTGTGTTCGTCGGTAACTTCGATGGAGATGTTTTCTGGGCCAAAGCCCTGGATGTCTCCCTCTACCGACCAGCCTTGCTCAATGGGCTTGACGTCGAACTTGGCGCGAAGTGCGCGCTTTCGTTGAAGTTGCCTTTGGCGGTGGGCTTCACGTTGTGCCTCGCGATGAGCCTCGAGCTGTGCCTGGCGTTGTGCTTCGCGGTCAATCTCGCTCAACAAGTCATTGACTTGGCTGAAGAAGTTACCGTATGGCAAGTATTGTGAGCGGCGAGGTTGAGGACGGGCAACTCGGCAGCCATATGGTGACCGTGCTGTTGGACTGCAGAAGCCGAGAGGGCTGTACTGGTGTGTCTGGTAGGCGGGTGCAAAGGTAGGTGTAAGTACGAACGCCATTTCTGGTATGATTGACTTGAAAGAGAAGTTTGTTGGTTCAGATATGATAGTAAGAAGGCTGATGATTGGAGACTATGGTGATTGTAGATGCTAGATCTAGAGATGCTGGTCTTTTGAATTGATGATGGACTGTAGAGGAGCCGCACTCCACACTTTTATAGACACCATAATACAATATGGATGTGAGTAAGATACCGGGATTCCCAATCCAACGACTATACTAGAATGTTGTGGATAGTTCGCGAGGTTGCTTGTTCATCCATGTTTGTCAGGTAGACACGTGAACCTTCAGGCTACTTCTCGAAGCTTCTACGTCATTTGGGTGAGTTTGTGATCCGTGCGCGGATTATGTAATGCCTCTAATCTCTTTTTGTCTTGTGACCCGCATTAGCAGAACAGTGTCCTGTTCAATCTAATCATCAAAACTATTCTCTTGTTCAAAAAGATCGTTTATTCTGACCATGCATGGCCTTGAGACGACAAGGTACCATTAGATTTCGCAAGTCGAGATGATTTTTGAGCCCATGATCGCAACGCGAGAAGAGGGACTTCTGAAAGTGGCAACCCAACTTGAAACGAACTCATTTCGAGTAGTTAATTGATCTTTCTAACAATGAAGTGCCGATATCGTCATCTGTCGTCTAAACAAAGCTACCTTGAACTATCCTTCGATACTCAGCCTCAAGAACTTCCATTCTAACCCATACATGTACTTGGAGACCTTCGCTTACGGCCTTTATGTATCAACTCTATACTCAACCGGGATGTCTTTGGTACATACTTACTGCCTTGGCATCAATTGCACTTTCCATTGACCAGCCATGACCCCGCTCCATTACACTTGTAGCGGATTTTACCAGAACACGCTGTCGCTCCCTTATTGACAGGACCGCAAAAGCCTGGTTCTTCCCTTTCAACGATGGTGATATCCCTAAGCATGTTGGCAGGGGCCGATAGTACAACAACACTAAAGCTGATAGCTGCAATCGTGACTTGGAGGAGATGCATTGCGAAAGATTTGGCGGATCGCGGAGATGTAATGTCAAGTAAAATGGAGACAACAAGCAGTGTTTGAGATCGCGAGAGGTTGTGAGGCATCTGGCTCAGAGGATGTCAACTGACTTGGCTTTATACTACAGACACTTAATGTGTTGCACTCCGCGCCAGGCTTGTAAACCAACCAGGGGAGCAGAACCGGTACGGTGATGACACCCAGAAATTTATCCAAGACCCCTGTTGCTGGTTTGGGGTAAAACATGCATCACGTGCACAACATTATTAACAAAGATTGGACTTGCTTGGTCCTCAAATACGTTCTCTAATTGTCTCAAGATATCTAGCAAATATCCTTTCATAAAGCAAGCGCTCCGGAATAAGTCTATTTTGCGCCACGATGGCGGCAAAATACAAGCATACGTAAGTGGGCCCAATCAACTCCACTGCTCGATTGTGTACAAAGGAACATTGGTTAACAGTAGAAGCCTTTGTCTACAGCGAATATCTCAAGTATGATAGCCAAACAAAGAATTTTGACTATATGCTGGGTATCAGAGCAAATGCGATATGAGTCGTAGATGTTGATGGCACTATTTTGCATACTGTAGTGTTCTCATGATGAAGATCACTTTCTTTGCAGATCACCAGCGGTCCGGCAAATTTCACTGTCTTTGCGAGCTTGGCAGATTCGAAATTAAGGTTTATCTGCCAATGTGAAACACATTTCATATACCTTCAGCCTTCTTTTGATGGTAGGTCCGTCGCAGTCTGCCTACGTCAGATTGATGCCCATGGTTTTGAATCGCCACAAGCTTTAGGTAAACGTTACTTGCCCATAGTTCGCATCAACCTGCCATGTTGCGTTCGCCTTCCATGCCAATTTCCTATCGAACCTATCATGGGACTCTTCGGTCGTCCAAGTCAGGAGAAGATGCAAGCTTTCTATGGGAACTGATAACAACCAACAGGTGTCAGATTGATGTCGGTTTAACCCTCGAACCTATCCGCCGACAACTTCTAATTAAAGCCCTACAATTTAGATGTTGACTTATGTGACTTGTTAAGTATAGCTCTCTACACCTCCTCGAGAAATAAATATAAGTAACTATCTAATCTGCATCAGCCTATTATTCACCAGCTGCATGAGATGTTGTTTTTTGAATTCTCGAAAAAAAACATGAGAACATTCTTCTAAAGGGAGAAATGATTATTTCAGGGCGTTTTGGCATTATGTTCTCGTGGCTGGTAGTACATTATATTTGCAAATGATGAAGAGCAGCATGTGCAAATGGTAATACCAATGGTGCACGTGATGCCTTAGCCCCATTACATAAGCAAAGCTACCACCTCGAGCTACCAGCGGTCAGACTCTTCATAGTCAATACCCTCCTTAGAGTCTACATCTTGAACATTTATTGAGCTTAAGAGGTATCTAATTTCTCATATCTCATGTTCGCTAAAGACGGCTGCCCGCAATGCCACTGCGAAAATCACATTCAAAATCTCGATTTGGCTGTTTGCCTTGCAAAAAAAGACACATCAAGGTACCGTTACACCTCCTGAGAAAAAATTCCATCGTTTTGTTTCTTTACAAAGCATTCAAATCACAAAAACTTATTTTCATACATATTTAGTGCGGAGAAGAATCACCTTCATGCAATAACTGCACCAATCGTCGTGTGCAATGCGTTTATAAATCTCCGCATACCCCGGACGATGTCTCTTCTAGAAGCAGTGTTTCGATGAACAGAAGTGAAAACCTTTCTGGAGACCGGAATACAGCACGTACGCCAATTACTGTCACACGAGCCCAAGAATTACATCTGATGGCTCACTACATCACGTCGACGTCTGAAACGATGGCACATGGCAAGGAAGATATTCATGTTTGGCAACAGATTGTGCCAGATGAGGCGATTCATCATGTTTTCCTCCTTGACGGCATCTTAGCGCTGTCTTCCCTTCATTATGCCTGGAAATTTCCAGATTCTAGGCTTGTTTACAGCGAGATCGCTATGAATTATCACGCCTCTGCGCTAAAAGGATTCAGGGACGCATTGAACTGCGTCAACGATGAGAACAGATGCGCCTTATTTGCTTTCTCTATTATTCTGAACGTACTGGCTCTCGCTTTCCCCAGCATTTGTCCAACATCCGAGCAGTCTTCTCGTGAGGAAAGCGTTGTGATTTTGATTGAGCTTCTTCAAGGTTTGCGATTCATCATACGCGGCCCTGAGGATCTCACGACACATCTTGCAAAGTTCGCGCCATTATGGGCTCGATTTACCAATCCTGACCCTCCTCCTAAGCCTGCTGATGAAGTTGCCACCGCACTGGCGAAACTTCGGGAGAGGACAAATGGTATTCAAAGCTCCATCGAAGCTGAGCGACACAGATCCTATCTTGTAGGAATCGAAAGTTTGGAAGCAATCTTTGGGCAAATGAACCAAGATCCAAGTTATCTTGGTCAAATCATGGGATGGCCAACAACAGTCGGCCCGACGCTACTAGACCTTTTCAAGCAGGAAGACCCTATGGCACAGCTGATTTTTATTCACTACGGCGCATTATTGCTCTACACTCGAGATCGATGGTGGGGCAGAAACACGGGTTGTCGCCTGATTGAGAGTCTTTCACGATCTGTCTCCAACAAGCATCCAGAGTGGGTGGACCTGATGCAATGGGCCAACAATGCTGCAATGTTAGCTCAAAAAGACTGAAGATATGTTGATTCATCGCAACAATAATCGTAGAGATCAACTCCAGTGCATACGAAACTCTTTGAAGATGCTTATATCAAATTTTTAGATATCTCTTGACGTACTAATACATATACGACATATAGTTTACAACATCATATCTCCCAACTATATCAAGGTTCTTTGCCGGTCAAGTCCTGATTCTGAGGTATGTTTCAATACTATTCTAGAATACAATCTGGTTTTGGTCTTGATCCGGCCGTTCTCAGTCAACACCTCTAGCAAAGATCGTATACTTCCACTCCACGGCGCACCGCGACCCCCTTTTCGCCTTTCAGCAGCCCCGTAATCTCACTCGGATGTATCCATGCCAGAATGGCCATGGTAATCCACATGAGGGTCGAGTCAAAGATATAAAGGAACGCTTCGTGGGAGATCAGATAGCCGTTATTGCCTTGCGCATACTCGATCAGGCGAAAAGCTGATCGCACAAGAATGAGCATGCTAGCCGCATAAAGAGAATAAAGCTGCATCTCCCAAGGTATAGATCCCGAGATGATTCGGGTTGTAGGGTTCTTGCGCATTCGAGAGTGCCAAAACACACTCGTCACTATGAAACAGCCGAAGAAGAGGATTTGAACGACGAGACCACCGATGATGATGTTTTCGCCGGTATAGAGTGCGCTGATTGTGCCGGTCGCCATTATGCCGCCGCCTGTCCACCATGGTGGTTAGCCTGTTTTCTTTCTTCGTGAGTGCACTCGTCGAAGTGCGTATATAACGTACCAGCGCCCTGCATCATGAATGAAATGACATCTCCCACGACAAAGATCTTTGTGAGCCATCGCTTGGGGACGATCGAGTGGTGTTCGCCGTCGGTAACGAGTATTATGCGACCGAGCATCATATATATGCTTGCGGCATACAGAGCGGGAGCGACAAGGAGTAGGATGGTGGAAGCAGAGTATGCGCCGACTGTCCAGTTGGGGGATTCGGCAGCGGACATTGCTCTCTATTGGCGCAGTGTTAGCACTTCACCAGGAGCGCTCTAATAGATACCTACTGCTATGTAACCAGCAAATTGGACTGTCATACATTAGCTATTGGTCACAAATACCATGCGACATGATTTTCGCAAAGATAACTTACAGAAGCCGCCGATGACGAACGGTACGAGTATCCACGTGCGGGTGCGGACCATTTGGTACAAATGCAATCCTGATACGAGAAGAAAGAGGATGATGAAAATAACAGCCGCAGCCATGGAAGGGTTGTAGCGATACAACTTGAAGTCGATCGTTCCTCCATTGTCGGCCATTGCGTCGGTTGGGTTTTTTTCTAATCTGGGTAGGTTCGCTGTAATCAAGGAATCGAATTATAACTTGAACGTGTTCTTCGCAGATGAGGTCGAAAGCGATAGCGGAATGAGAATAGAAAAGAAATCGCAACACTGAAAAGCTCTT